GTCCTTGATAATACAATGTAATACCTTTTTATTTTATTCTATTTATTTAGTTATTTACATCATGAGAACTATTAGCTCGATATTAAGTAACGCATCGGGGATTTTATAGTTTGTTAGACCTCTGGGGAAGTGAAAAAAAAAATGAAATTAATTTTTTTTTATCAAAAACTTGAAATTAAAGATCAGGGAGATGGAAGTTCTTTGAAATTTGTATTAAAGAAAATATTTATGAAGAGATGTACATGTATTTTAATGCAAGACAAAAATTAAGGTTAAATCAATATAATGTCCTCAAATTGAATATTATACATATACAGTAAAGTTGTCTTTATAAACGCCTTTGTATTATTTTATATATATTTAAGCGTATTATGCCACCCCCCCCCCCCCATAATCGAAGATTAGGGGTGTATAGTATTTACCCTGTCCGCCTGTCTGTCTATCTAGCTGTTTGTCCGTAAAAACCTTGCCAATAACTTTCTTTTGGTTGGTTTATTTCTTGTCGTAAGACATTTTATTGGATGCAAACAGGTTTGACATTTTGACCTTGACCTTGACCTATTTTTATAATCATTGACATTCGCTGTGACTCTTGAAAAGTAAGTCCTAGGACTTTCCTATTTTATAGGTTTATTCCTTGTTATAAAACCTTCCAAAGAATACCAACAAGTTTGACCTTTTGACATTGACCTAAGACCACTTTTGAAAATTTTTTACATTGACCGTAACCTTTGAACCATTCGTAGGTTCTCTTATTTGACAAGTACATATATAATCGTATATATTCATTATGACAATTCTTTATCATTTTTTAATCGTTTGACCTTGACCTCGAAGTTTGTTTGCATTTAAACTTTACTTCGCCATAAGCTATTGTAGGGACATCAATTTTTCACAAACACGTCTTTTTGTTTTCCAATAAGTCCTTCCATATAATCTGTATTTTGCACGATTTTGTCTCTTGCTACATGTAATAATAAATCCAAATGCCACTGTGTAAATATATAACATGTAATTATAATTAACTGACATATTAAATTAAAGTTGAGTGAAAGAAAAAGAAAAACTTTTCAGAACTGAAAAATTTCGAAATGGTTAATTTTGATGAGAAATATTATAATTAACACAATGCCCATTACATTTTTTAAGCGCAAATATTTTTTTTAACCGAAAACAAAATGCTAATTTTTTTAAGGTGAAAAGTTTATAGACTTGTTCATGTAAATACCTCACTATATCTATAAGCTTTGTAAAAAATAAAAGTGGTCTGCCTAACGCTAAGCCCAAGAAAATACAAAATTCATGCCGTGAATAGAATAAATGTGTGTGTTTGTGTTGGTGCCGGGGGGGGGGGGGGGGTTAGACAGACTCTCGCATGGGCGTATATAGTACGAACCGGTTTCGAGCATACCGCTCTAGGAAGTTAGGAATCTAATCAATATCTTAAGACGTGCAAGGAAAAGGAATCGATACGTAATATCCGGAATACCAATTTAAGTGCGTGTTTATGGTCTGCGAATAATGTTTACTTATACATATTTAAGCATGTTCTCATGTACAATGATAGCTTTATTGCGATGATTAGCAACACCAATATGCTTTTCATGTCAGTAGACATTGTTCATACAATTGTTTCAATATTTTATTAACTTTAACACTTTAAGGGTCATTGTCTCCACGAAAAAAAAGAGAAAAAACAAATTGTGGTAATTTTTGAAGTGCGTGTTGATGATTTGGTTTGAAATCGGAAACAAACAAATCTTCCAGGATTTTACCTACATAAATAGATAAAAATTCACCTGTATTGAATATAAAAACCTACTGGTTTAATCATTTTTATTTTTTAATCCGCTTGCTATCTTTATTAACTACATACATTATTCCTAAGTAGTTTTTCTGTGGACCGTCATTATCATTGTCTGCATCAGATTTTTTCTTAGATTCATGGTGGTGGTCGCCCGCGTGGCGCAGTAGTTAGAAGGTCTGCTCTAGAGTCGCGAAATAAAGGAGTAAATCCTTACGTCGTGGGTTTGAATCCCACTGTGGGACGTGGAGACCGATCCTTCGGATGAGACCATATAAACCGAGGTCCCGTGTCGCAGTAGGTGTTGGCACAAAAAAGACCCCCCCCGGCTCAATGGCCCTAAGTGCCGAGTATAGGACAAAATTTGCAGCTCTCCACCGGCAAGAGGTGGCGTCTCCATATGAGTGAAAGATTCTCGAGAGGGACGTTAAACAATATATACAATCAATCAATCATAGATTCATGGTGCATTTTGGTTTTTTGACAAATATTGAAACTGAATACATACCTGTATATGTATATTCTGTCTTTCTTAGGGGAGGGGATGGCTTACGAACAGTGTGTTTAAAAATACATAAATTTTTTATTGCATGATTATGCCAAAATGTCTTAATTGTAACCTAACCTTAGTATTTCTTTTTTTTAATCAAATAGAAAAAAGGCACATTTTCGTATGTGGAGGTCAATTTGAATTCTAAAAAATATCCACCATATTACTTAGTATTTATCACAGGTAACAAAAAAACTGGAAAAGAAAACATGTTTCATGCGACATCTCATGTTAAAATACATTAGTTGTGTCGAGAAGTGTAAAAAATAGCCCGAATACACGAATAGGTTGTCCATTTCCGTGTTGATGATGCTATATATAGGGGGGATTAAACAAAATCTATTTTCAGATCCTTCACCTCAACAATAAAAATCCGATATCTTATCCTTAAGCCAACTGATCCTCAAATCACTCCTGCCAAATATATTCTATTTATATGTTCTTCTAATATCATGTGACTGATATCATGTTGCTTAATTTTTGATTTACTGTGGTAGGTTTAAAACTTTAAAGAGATGACATAAATAACAAATTTTTATATAAAAAAAAAATGTATGTTCTTTTTATAGAACTTCCTTATCAGGGTTTTGCAGTTGAGCACAATCATGCATTTTTTGGTAACTTGCTTTCGCTTCAATCGTGGATTATCATTATGGACTTGTCTGTCTGTCCGACCCTTTCTTCCCCTTTTTTTATCCCCAGCTTTCGCTCAAGTAAAATATTTATTTAGGGATTCAATCCTTCCGTTTGTTTATAATTCCGCCGTTTTTAACGCTTCGGCTTCCGGAAATTTGGACATCAATCCTTACATATTTTTATCAATCTGTCGTGGTTTAAAACACTTCAGCTCCCGGAAATATAATTATATAAAAAAATTCATGTATTTTCTAATAATATTCCATATCATAACTCTCTATAAACAACATGTATTTGTGGAACACGGAAGCCCTATATGGAAGATTTGGGCGAAGGTTAAAGTTTCTAAAATGCAGTTTAAACTTCAAGGTCAAGAGATCAAAATATGCTGTTACCCAAGGGAAGGACTTGTGACAATGGATATACTTGGTAAATGTGAAAGCTCAAGCACCAACCATTTAAAAGTTATGGTCAATGTTAATAATTTTTTTAATTGGGTCAAACTCCAAGGTCAAAGTTCAAAATTAATGGTAAGCATGGTAAACCTTATCGTAAAAAATACACATGGAAAAAAAACAGAAGACCTAGCTGTCCCAATTGTTATGTTATGGCATATGTTAAGAATTTCCAGTGAACTTGTAGGTCAAACTACAAGGTCAAGGGTAAAAGGTCCATACATGGTGTAATACATGTATTTGTATTCAAAGGAAGGTCTTATCACAAGGAATAAACCTTATACATTTGAAAGCCCTCTTACTAACTGTTCTAGGGTTGTGGCCAAGTTTTTAATTCATTTTAAAAAAAAATAGATTAAAATCAAAGGTCAAGTCGAGGTCACAAATATTTATACTCATGGAAAAGTCTTGACACGATGATTATGTGAAATATGAAAGTCCTAGCACCAACTGTTCAAATGTTACGGCCAATGTAATAGTTGCATAAATTTTTGAAAAAGTGAGTTAAACTCCAAGGTCAAGAGGTCAAAAATGAAGGTTCGAAAGGAAACTTTAAGGTAGGATTCTTCTCATTTCTTGTATTTAGAAATTAATAAAATTTTCACAGAATCAAGAAGACAATGTCACTAAGTGGTGGTACATGTATCAATGAGAAAATATACTTCGAATATTTCATCTAGTCAGAAACCAGAGAAGAATTTTACCTTAAGTCTTGTCACAAGGAATACACATGTGAAATATGAAAACCATAGCTCCAACCAATAAAAGGTTATGGACAGAGTACAAGGTTTTTTCCGGACAGACAGACGGAAAGGGCAAAAATTTTATGCCCCGAATCCTTGATTGAGGGGGCGTAGAAAGACAGTTATTAGGTAACATATGTATACAATGTATGAAAGTGCTGTCAAACTAAAAACGAAGAGAAAAAAAAGTTGTTAATTCCTTTTGAGTAAAGAAAGGTCTAATCTTGATTTAAATTAAAAGCTGTTAAACCAAAAGAGATTCCTTCTACAACTGCACATTTTAGGTCCACCTTTTAGTTAGTACAATTCTCTGTCATCCTTGGATTTTCAGTGAGGCGTAGCATTCTCGAAGTTACATGATTAGCGTCTCTCAAATTCTCATTGGTTAGGAAATCAATAACAGTAGCAACTTTAAATTGATGTTGATAACGATGAGATGACGTAAGCCCCACCTCTTTGCCATACGAATCGCTATCATTGGACCCTTGCTGCACTCGTTGACTTTCGCACAAATTACTATCCCATTGTATATTTCAACAGCGAGAATGCCACGCCGGGCTTACTGAAAGTCCAAGGATAACAGAGAATTGTACTATTTTGTCCTGAGGGAAAGGGATATTAATTCCAGGAATTGGCTTGTCTTCCAAGAATCGTGACAAAATTACGAGTTCAATTCAATTGTTTAGTTCATGTATTCCCTACATGAACATAAAATTCATCTTGTCAACAATAACAATGGTAACTTAAGCCATAAGTAAGAATCACAATGGCAAAATTAATATAGTTGTCAAAAAGAGAAAACGCATGCCAAATAAAATTTTATTCAGACTGTTTATTGTTAAAACCATAATGATATAATCTTGATTAATAAATAGATTTGAATAGATATAAGGTACAGACAGTTCATTGAACTTCACTGCCAAATAGTAATATCATGATTTTTTGTCCCACATATGTTCAAAAGGACGAATTAATCCCAATCTGCACCCTCACTAATGGTACATTTTATGGAAAGACTGTCAAATCGGTATAAAAATATACATATGTTTAAGAAACTTAACAACTTCACTTCATATACAATGATATTGGTTTTAAAGATCTACAATATTTCAGTACAACAGTACCCAAAAATAGAATTTAATTGCATCGAAACATTTACGACAATGGTTTGAGCGAAAGAAGTGACGTCATCAAAATGGCTACAAATATAACATGAGCACTTTTATCTGTAAGTCAAATCCATATGATTTCTGTTATATCTCTGACATCCTTATTTAAAGATGTCTAGGTAAAAATCCTGTTACATCATCAGAACATACGGAAAAAAATCCTACTTATATGTTTTTACGAGTATCCATGTACATGTTATAACTACGTGGGGTTGAAATGTACTTTAGTATATTTTGTTCAGTAAACATTGATTTTCCAATCAAATAATGTATAACGGAAACTAAAATATGTGCCATTTACTTGAAATGATAAAATACTTTTCCATTTGTAATTACATATTTTATTTCCATCAACTCTGCTTAAAAAGAACCGCGTCATTTTTTTTTCAATACATCTTATTAATTTCTAAAAACAACCAAATTGAGCGAAAATAAAAATTGAAAAAATAAATCCACCCCCCTCTTTCTGATATCTATACTATACTTCCTCTTCGAGACAAAATTAAAATGTTAACACACTTCATAATCCCAATGAGTGTTTACTTAAATGAAGATCGTTCTATCAGTGATTACGGAATTTCTGTACGATCTGGTCAAGTTTGGTATTTACGACTTGGAAGAGAGATCCCGGGGTAAAAGTTTTATCACAATGTCCACATCAGAGCCATAGATAGACGGTTTATGAGGGGAGCAAAAGTAGTCCATATTGGTCTAAAAATATCTTTATCTTATTCGGGTTCAAACACAGAACTGCACCGGATGATGAGACATGCAAACATTTAAGTGAAAGAGATCAAGAGAATTTTAGACAGTTACTGAGTCACTCGGATAAACTTTAGCTGTTTTAAAATTCAAACATTCAAAGTATTCATTTGCATTAAATTTTCTTTTTCTCTTTCCCCACATTTAGATACATGAAGTTTCTTATTCTTTGTATCATGAGCACAATTTAGTATTTTGTGTGTGTGTTTTTTAACAAGTAGAGAAAGAAAGTGAAATGATTGTCTTTAAATTCTAGTATACGTACAGACACAGGGAAAAAAGAGCAATTAGGCAAGTTAAAAAGTAATTTAAATATTGTTTTACAATTCAAAAACCCGTGATCAAAAATAATACTAATATATATAATTACTGTAAGTAAGTGAATTAAATTAATATTAAAAGCTTAAAATGAATACAAGTCATGTTTACAAATGTGATAGGATGAATATTTTAAGTCTTGAAATATTTTCTGGTATGGTTACATTGACATTTATCATTCTATTCCATACAATAGTGAACCTATAAAGTTTCTTTGATGATAAATTCTCTCTTTTATACATTACAAAATGATACTGCTAAAATATGAAAGACTTCTTCATTGAATACATACACAACCATATTTGGGTTAATAATATGAAAAAAAGAAAAAAAAACAATAATAAAGTGAAAAATTCAACATATAATGAATATTAATCTAAAATATAACATAACAAATGGTGATTTCAGATCCATGTTGGAACATTTCGTTCCCGGAAGTCAACGTCAACGAAACTCTTTCTTTCACACTTGGTACGGTGCGGTGTCGCTTTAATAATTCAGTCATAATCTGAAAAAAATAAAAGACGCATACATTAGAATTCGTTCCATACAAAATGTTCACACCAAATATTCTCAAGTCTATTATAATGATTGTGAATTTGAAAAATTCCCAAATTTGACAGTTGTGCACATAGAAAATTACTGAGATGACTTCGTTTAATTAGAAATTCTGATTTGCATATCATAATCATTAAAGTGCAGAATACTTTGAATATGCTCTAGTACAGGTGATGGACTTTTTCTTTTATTAGTGTACTAGTAAGTTTTATTGTATTCAATAAGTCAAAGAACTGTACATATATGACATCATTTCTTTTTGTTGGGGGAGGGGAGGGGGTTCAACTGGTCACATTGATTTACATGTGTCTGAGTGTATCAAATCAACTTGACATATTAGGAAGAACTTGTTTACTTTAAATTTATAGTAGCCTGAATACACATGATTAGATATGACCCAGACAATGCGCTATATTTTACCAAAATGACGTTTCTTTATTTAATTCTTTCAATTCAGCTCTTGACAGAATCAAATGCAAATGGTTCAAAATGAGAACCAAGTTCAGAATTCTTCGTTACATATATTTCAAATCTATGACAATACAAGAATTCAAAACATTATTCACTGGAGCACTTCACCTATAATCGTATATCTTCTTTGAAAAACTAAAGCCCATTGGGCTATGGACATTGTCACTTCGACTGTCATTAACAGAAACTCTCAAAAACATGGAACCTATCCAAACACTGATGATAAGAAAATACGTATATGGTTTACAAAGCTATATAAAGTCGATCACTTTAATGTTTGATTAGTATTCTGGCTAAATTGGGATTGTGTACAGAACTACTCCGATATAGATTTTTTTTTTTGGTCTACATGAACAATATAGGTTACAAGGGTTTAAAGTTAAAGTGGCAGAATAGAAAAGGGTTGTTTTTGCTAAAAGGGAATTATCAAGTGAATACACGTCCACACAGTTCAATTAACGTGATATTCCCACGCTTTCTTTGATTGTACGGTGATTTAAATAAGGTATTTTAAAAACTATTATCAACATTCATACATTCTCACAAAAGGATAATATTACGTGTTGTAGTAAGAGTAAATTGATACATGTTCTCAAGCTTATTTCATCGATGAATGAAAACATTCTAATTTTGTTGTGATTATATGCACGTATACAAGTTTCAAGCTCATTATTTCTGAGGAAAAAAATATAGAATTCCTATTGCAATTGTCTCTCGAACACTTTCGTGAGACAACTACTTAAGAATTATGAATCTCTGTCCAAACTTTTGCTGCGTCCATGTTCTTTTTTTATATATAAAAGAACCATGTGAAATGATATGTTTTAAACAAAGTGTGTTATATATATGTTAGTTAGAATTTAAAAACAGTTTATGGATTGAAAAATTCAGCAATTTGCAAAATCTTTTCATTATTTTCATCGCTAAATTAATGTCACACTACTTTTATAAGGTTCATAAACCGTCTGCTCTCTCATATAAAATGTTGCTTGAACCTTAATGATTTTCCCAAAAAAATGTATTTTATGAGTAAAATACAAACAATTCTAGTATAGATTGCGGGGCAAAATTTGACAAAAAAGACACTTCAACTTTGCAAATCTATAAAGGAATGATAGAATCATATCATTTTGAGTTATCTCTCTTATCAGAGTATCAAGGAACCTTAAACTTTATCCCCTCCACTTTTTTTTCTTTCTACTTTGGCATACAGTACCAAAAATAGTCCAGCCCTGATGATAACTTTTAAAACTGATTTGGCGCACAGTGGTCCAAAAACGGAGAAATGATACCACCGCCTGGAGGCGCTAATAATCATGACGACCTCACTAGGAAATAATTGTTTCTCCTGAGAGAGAAGATTATGATATACTAGTATATACCCGATGATTTCTCCCCGCTCGCCCTCCTAATGCAATCCTTCTTAACACGTATTAAAACTCCAATCATCATAATGAGTAATTTACTACGCCTAGGATAAATTCTGACATTGAACGTACAGAAACAATGACAGAATTGAAATGAGAAGACAACATGATGAAGATTTCCTTAAATTCCATATGACAGAACAAAGCGCCTTATAAAGGCGTGTGTAGTTTTTTGGTGATAAACCAGCGACAGTTGACGTGCTTTTTGAAAAGTACAAATAAATATTTATCTCTTTCTGAATTATAGGATGAGGGGGTTCAAAGATTTGATGCAAAGTATGCGATAAAGACTTATTACGAAATATCCCAATTAACAGAAAGTGTTAACAACGAGAACGGTTCACGTGTTGAAAACAAACGTGTGGGCAAATAATTTAGAGGGGAAATTGCTTTATATTGCAGAAAATAAGGTTACTGGTCTGGTTTTAGCAGCATCAGAAGCCGTGTTAATGACAGAGAGAGGTCATCGCTGACAATTGAAGTAAGGAGGAAGGAAGCAAACTTCAACAGCAATTGTGCTTTTCACACAGCACTGAAGCACATTTTGTCTCAAATAACGTTTTTCTAGCAAAATTCCAGAAATTGTTCTATGTTGTGTGATATAGAAGAAAATTCCGCAAGAATTTTCGTCATCGAAGTATAGAAAGTATTTCGTTCACATCTTTTAATAGCTTAGTAAAGATTATTTTCAATACCCGGATATCAACACAACTATTTTCTTACATTACTTACAACTTATTCATTGGTTTTCAAAGAATGCACTTTAAACTCTAAAAAAAATTTCAATCCCATTTCATTTTGAGGTTTGTAACCTTTCGTTTGCAGTAACGCAATATATATGACACACTGAGAAACCTGGATCAGTTTCTAGAGACATATTTTTTAGTACATGTAGTTTTCCTCTGCCGTCTGCGTGAAATGATTTACAACTTTTCTTAGGGAATCATTTAGGGGGAAATCAAAATTTCAAAACTTAATTAAACCTTGTTTGTAATATAAGATTCAAAATTGTGTAGCCTCGTTTTAAAATCAAAGATGGCACACACCATACTAAAAGTAGCTTTATAAATTGCTAGAGTACACAGACAACACGGTGAGGTGAAAATGGGTCCAAAGGTCAAATGAAAGACGATTTATATGTTCTATTTGATATTTAGGACGGATCGCCGTCACACACCAGTGGGTACAAGTCTATTAAATGTGCTGTATCATCAGTTAAAGATGTCATCAACTAACCACTACCGCCTAATTTTCTGAGTGGTCAATTTCACGTAACCTACCCGCTCGGAAATGAAAATATTTTGTGGAGTCTGCCTTTTCTCTGAATTCCCATGAAAAAATAGATAATGTTTGTACGATTCAGGTTGCTGTGATAAAAAGATAGGATTGTTAATTGAAGCACGTTAATTCTTATAATCTAATTTTGAATCTAGTGTATTGAGTCTGCACGCGATTTTATTCTTAACACCAAATGTACGGAAGAAAGGTATTTGTGAAGTTTGTTTTAGTATAAAGTGTTTTGCCTACATAAAAAAAAACTTCACAAATCATTTTTATAAACATATGTATACAAAACACCTAGCAAACACACCTTGTCGGAAGTGATCTATTAAAGACTTTGACAACACTTGAAAAATTAAATAAAGGAATTAGTAAATTTTATTCTTCTAATATTTCTCTGAAAATGTACATTTTGATTTGACTGTCATCATAAATCTACATTCAATCATCAATGAAGATTTTGCAACAGAACACATTGGATAATATCTTGTTGTATACATGAGAAACAATCCTCAGTATATATCCAGTATGCTTTTCAGATTTAGTTGAAGGAAAGGTTGACAAGAATCGATATTATGTTTAGAAAAATCGTTAGGATCGACTCATTTATAAGCCAAGAGTCCGGATCACCCAAGGAAAAACTCGTATTATTGTCCTCCCACATCCTTTTGTTTAAAGTAAAAGCTGGTGTTTTGACGACTACTAGTCTAAACATTGCTTTTATTTTGAAATGAAAACTTAGGGGGGTAGATAGCAGGGAAGTGTGAATCATATTATCACAGCTTTGTAAAACACTGAAAGTAGACTTTGTTCAACTCTTTTAATATGATCATGCGTTTGGCAAATGAAGATAATTTATATCCTCTGAAGTATAAAGGATTATCAATCCATGTATAGCATATCGTCAAATATGGAACATTTTGAAGGTTATATTCGCTGAGTAAGGGTTTCGTTCAAAGGACATGCCATCAACGACGCAGACTCTATTGAACAACAGGTCAACCCTCCAGCCCCCAACAAAGTCAATACGAGAATTTATCCCAGAAATGTCTCTTCAGTAAAAAAAAAGAGCATAAAAAATTGTGCCTCAGAAATATCTTAGGCCTGAATCTTTCAACTAACATATTTATCATGTTTAAAGTAGAGGGGGTTTATTTGCTCACTTTATGTTGCATTTGCTTGTGAATTGAGCAAGGTAACTTCGTACTATGTAACTTCGTACTATGTCAATGGCAGCGATACAATTTGATGTATCGGGAATAATTTCACTGACAAGACCAGTGGACCAATTGATAATGAAGATCAACTCAATGAGATAAGATGTCATTATGAAAAAAAGGCACTTATAAATACTAGACAAATTAACCTCTGTGTCTCTTTTACATATTAAGTAATAAGAGCTCGTCACTTTTGATTTCGCTGTGTAATGATGACCCTTTCCACGTGTGTTGAAATACAAGGTATTTGAAGTCCCAGTATTTCATTAAAGTTCTTAAGATAATTATCCATAGTCAAGCAACTTAATTGTAAGAAAATGGGATTCTATCTCAGTGACGCAAGCCCATATTTCCTTTATATTTGCATGTGTGCTTCGCGGAATAATCTGGGTTGTGCGTGTCAGATTCCTTTATTAGATACTCCCCATATATATATATATCAGAGTCTAAAACGTAATTTCCTCTTTATCAATCTAGCAGACGAACACATTGGTAGATTGCTTTATGTGACAGAAATTTTCAATATTGTGTCGTTATGTAATGTAATAAATTGCATCCCTTGTAATTTTTGCTGAATAATGTTGACCTTTTCCAATTGTGTTGAATTGCAAAGTAGTTGACGACTAACCACCTGCTTTAAGTTCCTATGATAATCAGAGGAAATCTATTGCTCGTCACTCCCATACAAAATCTCTTTCAAGATAGTTCATCTGAACTTAACCAAAGGTCTATACGATTATGCATACAGTCTGTACATGTTGAACAGCGTCAACCGATGTTTTCTCTCTTGTTCTCAACAAATTGTGGTCGTGCAAACCAGTTGTGAACATGAATGAGAGATGATGTGCATCAATCAGACACTTCTCATATGTTTTTTGAGCTGTGACTAATTCTTTGGCGGATATTTTTAGATTTTACACACCAGAAACAGATTAATCATTTCCTCTTTTTGTATTTTACATTATGGCAGCAACCAGGACAATCCGGAAATAGAGACAGCACTGTTCTTTGAAGAGATGCTAAATTTCGGAATTAGCTTTTACTGTTTTAATTGATTTCCATGTCACTTTGAAAGATTCTATAGGTTTTCGAGCTTGCAAAAATGATGTCCAGATTATTCTTAAAAATCTACAGATGATTCCATGTATACATTGTACATTTGTTATTACTACATGTTATGTAGCATTTAATATTACATATACAATGTATGTCAACATTAAGTAGAGAGTCTTCTATAAAAAATTACCAAAATTATTTTCTTATGTTTTTTTCCCAAACAAAGGGCTTTTATAACTTCTAATGTACTTATGTTTACTTTAAAACAAAATTCAAGTAAACATGATCATAAACGAACAATAGCTATTGGATCAAAACAACTGGAATCGGCTCCATGTACAGTCGTAAAATTACTTGAGAGAATTGTTTTCAAAGTGCAATGGCTTTCAATCTATATTATCCCCTTCCTATTTCATGTTTTTCAAAGACGGTCAAAACAGCCTTTTGTCAGCCAAGCATTAATTGCGGAAGAGAACATGTCAATCCAATTGGACTTTATTTCATCTGCTGAGTTGAATTCTGTGTAAATAATGGATACCGGAAGTTCATTATAGAATGAAGAGGCTTTTCACCTTCCTTCAATATACGTTAGAGATATCGATTTTAATTACACTGAATAAACTTCTAATGTTGCCAATCAAGAGAACAAGGAATTATATTAGTTTGTCAATATGAACTTGGAGGGAAAATCTTTAATAATCAGGGAAATACTCGTGGGCAGTTTACAGAAACAAGCAAATTTACAGCAAACTTTAGCGTTGACAAACAATGCCCCCCCTTTAAACATAAACTTCGGACTATAAATTCTGCAGTTAAACTCTGATAGTTTGACATTTCAAACACTTAACATGCCAGTGCACTTTTAAAAGTTTGAAAAAAGATGTTGATATTCCTAACATTGTCTTGTGCGATATCAGCATTGCCAAGGATAATGGTAAAAGTGGTTTCTCTATCTCTAAATTCCTTCCACATCCTTTGTTTAAGACGTTTATGTTCAATCTTATCAACTGTACAAAATTATTTTTAAAAATTCAAAAGATATACATGTCAAAAGTGTGAATTTCGTTTTGTATTACATATAATTCAAAATCAAAAATACATCACGTCATTTCTCACTGCCATGTCATGTTTTTTCATCACTGCTAGAAAAACGAGAAATCCCATGGATTTTTTCCTCTGTCATTTACCAATCTTAATTAGTTACACAAATATACATCGTTATCTGAGAGTGTTACGATATATCACAGAATTGTTTTTTTATTACACATTCCTGAAGGTTTCTATTACGTTATTGTGAAAGATTTCCAAAAGATAAAACATGAGACCAACATATATCAATTTTGTCATATTCAATAAAATATTTTTTTTTTTTTTGGAAAAACATAAATCATGTTTTTCTACGTGAACGAAGTTACACATAAAGAGATCAGTAACCCATGAAATCGAGTGGGATTTGTTTATATTCGTTGTCTTTATTTGTGTTTACATTACGTAATTTCCTACATGTCAATTTAAAAGTTCACAGTCCATCTTACCCCCGGGGCCACGCTTTGTGCGTCATGGTCAGTACATAAACAGGTACTCGTAAATAGTACGTAAAGGAAAGTACTAACGCAATAGTGGAAAAAGTTTACACTGTAGTTGACAGAGTTTAAATTAAAATAAAAATACAATGCTGCATGGAAAATTTATCACAGGGTCTCGTAATTAATCAATTCTGGACAAATAATACCAAAAACCCTCTGTTACATGTATCCTGACATTTATGCAACTTTCATGAGAGAAAAGGCAAATTATCATACATATTGTTTTGCTTTAGGAAATAAAACCCTTATCCATCATATTTTCATTATACAAAGACAACCCTAGTGGAAACTATTGCAAGTTCCATTTTTAACTGTCTGTGAATTTTTGTTTCCAATGTGCAGAAAACAAGACGTAATTTGGACACTTCGTCGTTACGTTATTGTCATTTTATTGCGCATGCCTTCTGTTCCTTATCCCATAATGGCTGACAAAGCTGATTACATTGTACGATGTGATGTAACTGTTTGTCATCTGATTTCTTGTTGAAAGACAGTGCCAGGTACAATGTTTTAAGTCTTCTTTCGTATCGCTTACATGTTTTGTTGGCATTGGGTTTTAATTTACATTTGAAGGTTATTTACCAGCGCATAAGAGTATACAGCACTTAACAATACGATTGACAAAATCCTTGGCTTGTTGACTTTACTTTCGAAGCCTGCGCAAATAAAACCAGAATATCAAGAGAAAGCATGGAAAAAAGATTTTTTTGCATCAAATATAAAAATGTCAGAAAGATATTTATGGACTGTATTTGGACTCTTTTATCTTTCTCATTAATGTATAGTTTGCCTGTTACAAAAACTATTAAGGTTTACTTTTATTTATTTGTCATTTGGGCTACATAATTTCAAACTAGTTCTTTCTTTATTTAACCTCCGTCACGAAATATAAATTTTGTGAAAAATAAAGACCGTTGATAAAAAAGAAACATGACACATATACATGCATACGCATCAGACCTTCCGCCTCTTGGACTATTTTTGCATCTTTGACAGCAGGACAAATGTCCTGAGATCACCCAGCAAACACCCTTGCCAAACATACACGAGGTTAATCCAAATACACAAAAACCCATATATCCTTGTCGTTTAATCTATACTGACGAAACCCACCTTCGAGATTAACCTAACTTGTCCCGCAAGCATTGATGCCAATTTCGGCGCTAGGTACTTAATGCGCCTCTTATTAAATTAACGGTAATGTGTACTAGTAGGTCAAAGTAATGAACTTACAAAATACGTCATGTAAATACTGTATTTACAGTCATAAATAAAAAAAATCGTTCTGCAAAAGTACATTTTTTCGACATTATCATTCGCACAAAAGGAAGCGATCCAATTGCAAGAAATGAAAAAATAAATTTGAAGGGGCTTTCTTTTTATGACACACACAAAGATTTTGTCGATTTAGGTATTCATCCTTTTGATTTTTCACCTTTATTGCAAAATTAGCTATCTATCAAATTACTGACAAAGCGAAGCACAGCCTATTTCCTTCTCCATATTTTACGGAGCACAAAAGGAATTCGACCTCACTGAAATAGCTGGTAAAGGCTATAAATAGTCTGGTCTGGTACTGCCCTGGGCGACTGTATGTCATTTAGTTGGCAGTGAAGTTTGTCAAATTTGCATTTTTGACAACGATAAACCAAGGCATTTATATTTCTTATATTTCGTTTTAGTTTCCGAGCCATATGAATCTACGTTTTTTCTCCCAGTTAAGTTCAACGTAGACATAACGAGAACTTTGCAAAGAGGGCTAAAATGATTCATTTGGTTTAATAAAACATCTAATATTCGCTATTAATATGTAAACAATATGTTGATTATAACACTATGAGGGACATATATACTCGTAAAAGAATTATTCAAATCATGTCCCCTTAATTTACCTGAATGTCTCTCAGCACTGATGATAAAATCTCCAAAATATCAAAGAGAAGTCACTTCCGTTGCCTCGGCAACCAGATTCTCCAGACCGGAAGGAAAATCGCATACTTCCTCTTCTCCGATACTTGTGTCGTCATGAACATTAAGACCGTCCTTAGAATCCTGATCCTGTTCATGAAATCCCGATTCCGAACTTTCATCGTCGGAATCCCCATTCATCAAACAGTACTGCACATCATTGTCATTTTTCAACTCTTCCAGATTGTTTCCTATCTCTAGGTCTATAATACGCGGAACCAACATTTCCAATCCGTCGTAATCGGATTCGCACGAACTCACAGCATCGGGTCCCTTTGTAAGATTCAGGGCTTTAACAGTGTCCGATTCCGATTTTTCATCGTCACTTTCGTCGATGTCACTGCTGCTTTCTTCCTCTAACGCTTCGTCCTGTTCCGTGTCTTCGCTTATTGCACCTAGTCTTGGAGCCGTATTTGATTTTGAAATGGGCGGTTTAAAGTTTTTGCCTGCGCTCAAAATCTGAATCCTCTTAGGCAAGACTTCCCCTGATTGGGGTACGGAGTTTGTTCTTTGTAACACTAAGCGGGAATTTTGTTTTCTCGTCTTTTCTCGCATAAACTCTTTGAGGGCAAATTTTAGTTTTTCATGTAGTTGTACAGCCATTGCTTTGGCTTTTGCCTCTGTTTTGCACAACACTGCATGACAACGGAGTTCGAGTTTCATTTTCTTGCCCTCATGTCGATACACCCAGACAAAGAGTCTGGGGTATTTAGGGTGAGCTATGCAGTACGATATCCTATGAGCTCTATATTCAGTCACTCCTTGTTCCTTCGTGTGTGCACGCAGACCGGAACTGGAAATTGTAAGTTTCATTTCTAATCCTGGATGTGAACTACGAACATAGTTATTCCAAATCACAGTTACGGGTTTATCCACACAACCATCACCTCGCATTAACGTCGTCTGAACATTTCCAAGGTAACGAACTTTATACGTGGGTTCCTTGTCACTAATAGACAAATTCTTTCTCCAACCGAACAGACTCATTTTGCTGGACAAAAATTTCAATCAAGAATCGTTTCAGTTCATTTCTACCTGCAAAAGTTTAAAAAAATATGTTAAATATAAATTTCAATCATAAACCAATGTGGGAAGCAAATTGGATCGTAGTCGAGTAAATATTCTCAATAAGTCTTTACCAATCATGTTTATACTTGTACTCATTTATCAGCTAATCCCTAAATAACGAATATCTTCTAATTAGGTTAAAAACGAAATTAAAAAGCAATCCAGATTTATAAGTTGAAAATGTATTTTGGACTATTTCAGACCTGTTTACCCATATCGTTGTCTCTCAGTATTTTTGATTAGATTTGTCCGTGAGATTTGGCATTTACCAGTAAGATTTCACTTTTCATCATTTTAACATATATAAATGGAGAACAACTGCTTGTCTGATTACTAAAATGTGGTTTAATAACATGGTCATGGTCATTTTATAACACGGCATTTTGGCAAACCGACATAACTGTGTTTTAAGTTTTTTTACGCGATTAAAAAGGGTGAACCGAGATAGATCATAACGTAAACTAACTTCAATTCTAAACAAGTATATATTTCTTATTTCCGTATTTTCATATAAGCAAAACGTGAGACGTATTTAGGACTAAAAATCCGTACAAAATACGGCGAAATCGTGAGAGTAAACAGGTCTGCTATTTTAAATCAAGGCATGGCGACAGAATTTCTTTCAGACTAACTGAAATGTGTAAATACAGTCTTAATTAGTATGTTAATGCGAGAGACTGACAGTGAAGAACCCACAATTATAACTAACACAGGAGAAAAAGAAATAAAATTTCTCCAGATTTATTAATCTATTTAAATGCTTCATCCTTTCCATTAGTTGAAAGGCTGTACCTAGAGAGTTTGAATTTCTGATCGAGGCTCATATTTAGATTTCGTTAAATCAAGTTATGTCTATTCAGTTAAATACTTGTACATTACACGAGAGTTTATTACACAAGAAAAGGTGCAACATTTGCCAGTTTAGTTCCAAATTATGTTTAACAGCAATCTCACACAAGTCATACACCGTACGTTCAATATCTTGCATGACTTGGCACTTATTTGAAGAAAATGGCCAAATACCGTTTGTAACAAAGATTATCAAACTGGTCCATTCAATACCCATTAATATGACTTCATTTGTTTAATTCTTTGATTAATGAATTAGAACAATGCACGCTCATTTTGGGGCTAGGTGTTGTCCTTTTAAGCTGAGATTAGTTTATATAAATCTTACCACGAAATGTGCCAAAGAGTATTTTGCAGAATGAACAAAGGTTATAAAATTCAATCATAAATTATGAAACTCTTCCAGTTTTCGAATGAAGATGTCATTATAATTATGTATTTAGCTAAATATGCCTTGGAGTAAATTTATCCCCTCACGGAATGGTAGAAAGAGATATGTTTAGCACCTACAAACATGACGAACTTGTTAATTTCTTTTCTTAGAGGGTTCGATGATTTAACATACAAGTATCATTGGATATATCATTATTATTTTAACCGCTTAGCCTACTAGCATAAAATATTTAAACAATGCCTTACAAATGTATACTATAATACAACCTATTGTTAAATTTCAATAACAATGAATATTGCAAATTCCTGTTAAATCTTTAAAGTCTACAAACTTGAGTAAACAGTCGGGGGTATCCTCTTGCTTAAGTTGCTTACTTTGGTTACTTAGTATACTTGTCCGCATTGTATTATTATCTCAAGAGGAAATGTGACAAACGGAAAAATGATTTTTCCTTATTTAGTACTTGCCACTTACACACTGAACTTTGCTTAGATAATGGGATCTGTAAAATTAATGCATGTTTTACTTGAGAAGATCTACTTAATATGCCATTTTGATTCCGATGGTATATTCTTACCAATAGTCAAATTATGCATAATTTATCATACGTTTTTGAATATTCTTTACATTCTTTAAGATTTTGACATTAAATGTTACCACAAGTGCTTTAATTTTCCTTTTCCATTGAAATTTGAAAAAAGAAGTTAAGATTGATTTTGCAAGGTTTCTTTTTTTCTTAAATATTATTTTTCAAACATCGAGGTCGCTAAGTTCAGGGCAAAATGTGCATGCATGACACAGATGCAATGTTTTCAGCACACATGCACCTGTAGGTCTACGATAATATACTGGTACATGCGTCAAAATGACGGCAACATGTCATTTTTGACAAGTTTTTTTTTTATTTGTTTTGGTCAGTTACTCTTTGTTTTTATTCTCCTGAAAAAGTAGTGAAGGAATAACTTAATTTAAGAGTCGTTTGACCTTTCAAGAAATTTTATTAATGGCAATAACAACGTGACTTGCTTTAAAAATGGTTTTAAAACAGGTTGCAGTGAAACACATTTGGCGTCTGTTATGCATGCATTTTGACCCCTTTTTATCATTTTATTACCGGCATTACATGTTAAGTGCGGTTTTAATGCAGACATGCTGTGCATTATATTTCCATTTTAAATACATGACATGCATATAATGCCTAGTCTAGAATTTCTAAATGATGCCATCAAGAAGCTCGGTTGGTTAATTTTACAAATAAAAAAACTACAGCAGCTACATCTTATAACTTGTTATGACAACCCGTGTCACTGACAAAAATGTCATTTTATTCCGTCCTTGTTTGTTTTTTATTCACACATTGCTCACAAACCTATTGTAGCACCTGCTGTGATTAACCCAATACCTCAACCCCCCCCCCTCTCTCTCGTAATCACTGCAATTGGAAGAAAGTACACATGTAATACTCTTGTTCAAGAGCACCTTGTCACAGCAAACGTCTGTCCTAGAAGCCACTGGAGTTCACAATGACATACATATGTTATATGAACAATAGCCTCATGCAATATGAACAAGTAAAGTGTTTTCTCTTTAAAGCATGAACATTTTTTAAACTTTGTATAGTTATGTCTAGTTTTGGGGGAAAAAATCCAAAACACTACAGAACAAGGATATGACATGCCATCCAATTTTGCGGTTTGAACCGTCTCTTTTTCAACTTTCGCAACAACGCATATATTTGCATTTTAAATTGGACTGGTGTAGTGGTGTACGATCTTGGTATACGTATACAAGTAAATCAGTCAGAAGATTATAAACTAATCATACAACCAGAATAAAATCACTGACCTGAATAAGTATAAGGCTCAACACACATTTGACAAGCGCAATGAACTGAACCGAAAGACCTACATATTGCAGGGAAAAGAAGCGAATACATTAAATCTAAATGTAGACGTTCCGAGGCGTCTAGCCGTACGGGCTAATTTGACCCTCGGGGCCCGGGGGCCCCGCTACAGTGCTGTGACAGTTCCAGCTCATATGATTGAGCGATCTTTGCTGATTATACAGATCGAATTATTATAACACTGCCTGTCCGTGTCATATGTACAGACTCATCTAAAACACGTGAAATGACATGAACTTTGGATTATGTTCTTATAACGTTTGTTACATTGAATTAATTGATAGTCTAAAAAGGTCCTCGGCTCTATAAATAGCTAACATCTCACCTTCTGTATTTTATTTCCGTGTTGTCCTAGAATGTCTTTTTATAATTTTTAGATATTTGTTTCTTCTAACACACGACACGTTTTGGGTGTAAAGTAATCCATGACTTTTATAACGACACCATTGAAATGACACACTTTATAGTTTCCACCAAGAAATTATAGATCTCCGTATCGATCGATGTTTAAACACTGCCTTGTACGTACACCTTTTCTCCGATATGACAAGTCCTATTCAGGTGAATCACGTGGTACGAAATCGCTTCTTTGATTGGCTTACGCGTCCCAGGTGAACTCTTGAACAGGTAAGAAAATATTTCGCACATTCCTTCCCATTGTAGACCTGTAACGATTAAATATACCCCTTACCAAGCGTGTTCAGTGAACAGTATTCAACCACTCAATGAAATCCCGGGTAGTTTTAATAATTCATAAGGTTTTCAAAACAGTTCAAAACTTAATGCTGACACTTTAAAGTGGATTTAAAGCGCGAAGTCGAGAATGCGTTACGAAAAAATATCTCATTAAACGTGAACTTCGAATTTTGGTCAATGGATATTGTTGTTGATATTCTAACCATCTAATTCTTTATTAATTTTCAATTCATTTCTAACATGTGCATTAAATATGCATTCTCACGATTAATTTAAGTAGATGCATATGTTTTTCCATTATCACACACTTTCAACCGTGCCAATTGTGAAGTTACTAAAACTGGGACGATATGAAAACGTTATGTATTCCTCAGATGTATATAAAATACTTGCAAAAATAGATCCTGTGAATCGATGACCATTTTGGAAGTAAATTGAAACTGTAGAATGGAAAATAAAATTCCATTATAAAAAACTACATAATTATAAACCTCAATTCCATATAAGAATTTGAACAAAATAACAAGCGTAGCTCCAAAAATGTTCATATGATCTGTGCACATTGTACGGCACTTATGCTATATTGAACAACACTTATGTTGATGTCGATATATTAATAATCAAACTAATTTATTTATAGAATAAAAATTAGAGTACTTCAAAACGAAGGAAGTTAAAACAATTTTTTACATAAATTTTTCTGAGATGAAATGGAAATATCTACATTGAAAGGGATTTTGTTGCTATTTTCAAATATTTGATAATTAAAATATCTGAACATTTTTTATTAATATGTTAAATTAACATCTATTTTCAGTGTGCACGTGTAAGGCGATGGTATCTGGGTTATATGTCATTTTAATCTGATGTTAATCTTTAAATTACATAGGATGATCTTATATGAAGGGGATGTATATTAATTGAATCAATAATAAACCTTCAAAACCAATTGCACAATTTTAGATTTTATAAAATTTCCTCGTTACTCTTTATAGTGACGCATTTGACCTATTGAACTTAAAGTTTAGAGTGTTATTTTGATACTTGGGTTTGTCATCAGAGTATACGCTGGTTAACTGATCCGTAAAATATCACTGATCCTTGACACTTTGTATTGACATTTTCGTCATATGCCCTCCGAGAAAGGAAAAATTTGCTGAACTTTTAGAATATCCCAAAGATACTGTTCAATTGACGTCAAGCACAACTGTTTAGATAGAATAATTCAAATGAATAAATGCAAAACAGCTCTTTATATGCTTTATATGACAGAAGACCACAAAAACATGTGTACCCCACCCATCCCCCCAAAAATAAATAAATAAGAATAAATAAAACTTTTACTTAATTTTAAAGTTAATGATTTCAATTTCGTTTAAAGAATCATGTAACATTAAAGAGTTTTACGAATGGCTGCTATTACATGTAACCATTTCAAATCTAGTTTTCCCCACAGAAACTCTATATATACATGTATATTTACTTCACACAACTCATGTGTCTTTACACCCCCAACTCATTTCATTGAAACATTCCCATGGGACAATTTGATTATGCTGTCACAAAAAGGTGGTCGAGGAGGGCGGGGGGGGGGGTGGTTGGATTTATACAATTTCAAAAGTAACATGATATGATTAAGAGAAAAAAGTGGAGTGGGAACCTTCCCCCGTAGCATACATTGTATGTGCGTACCTTGTCCATACCTCTTATCATACTATGACAATCGTTCCTGTTTTCATTAAAAAGACTATCTTAAGAAGACTTAAAAAATCATTTCTGTTCGTTTTGTACCTCGTGTGTAAATTTTCTATACTTTTGACATACCCCGGTACTCTAAAACCATCGGACTTTTTCAACTTAATTTGCCATAAAACATTCACTGTCAGATAGTGGGGATTTTATTTTTTTTTAAATGCAGGGCCATTTTAAAGAATATCCAATTAATGGAAAGTGGAAAACAGGGTATGGTCATTTTAAATCTCCTAAAATCCAGAAAGCCGGAGATGACAAAACTTATCTCATGGAAGCTTTTCTTAAATATTCAGAGTTAAGAGGGTTCGACCCTTTGATAAAAGAGACAACTTCCTAAATAAATAAGCCTGAAATTATGTCCATAGTTTGCCATAAGAGAGTTAGCAATGTACATGTAATCTCACAAAAAGCCAATTCAAATAGAACTGAAACAAAACGGAAATACATGACTGTATTGACTTTTTGCCCATTTTTTATATCTTTTTTTTTTAATTTAAATCCGGAATTTTTTGTCATACAAACTGTCACATTTTTTTTTCTTTTTTACAATTTTTAAAAAATGCAGTAATGCAAAGAGACCACTTGTCGATAAACGCAGCACAGAAGCAGCGATTTGATGAATGTTCTTCTGATTTACATGAGTGAAAACAATGATATGTAGATCGCCATCTCTCTCTCTCTCTCTTTCCGTGTGTTTGTGTGTATATAGACTTCACACATGTACCTAAATTCAATACCAGTATTATTAATTACATGTATAATATACCATTGGTTATTTTCCCCTTTCCCTATATATATTGGTCAATCTACTGACCAAAGCCCAGCCGCTTGTCACGAACTATTTGTTTTCTTTAAAAATAGCATCCCCAGCTATTATTTTTATAGAGGAGGTGACTATTTTTAAAGAAGGCAAATAATTCGTGACAAATTCTTATGGTCAATGACCAGAATAGGTTATTTAATGTCCGGTGGTCTTCTTATTGTTTGTCTTCTGATCTGCTCTCTCTCTTTCACTCTATGGATACAAAACATGAATTCTTGTCCCAAATTTTCTTTATTGACGAGAATTTATAATTTTAGTATGCAGACTAGGCCATCCTTAAAAAAAAAAATGTTTGTTTGAAATTGCCGCCTGAAGGGTTTCACACACAGGAGGGAGGGAGGGAAATTATTTTTTTTTTTGAAATTGAAGAAAAATTTTAAATTTTTTATAAAAATCTCAGTAAACAGTAAATACATTTTCTGACTTTTAAAAAAAGTATCTACATCAACAGAAAAACCTAATTTTACATAGAACTGACATATCTTCCAGTGTTTTGTATTGTGCATGTGATAAAAAAAAATCTTTCTTCTTTTGGTCAATAATTTTTTTTCAGGAGGGGCATTTCAATGAGGCGGGAGGCAATTCCAAACAAACTATAATTTTATTTTGGCCTTAAGGCAAGTAATCATTCAATACAAAACAAGCATTCTGAGACTCGGAGAGTAATACCTTAGCAATACTAGTCCCCTACCGACAGTTGTTATCTCTTTCCCATTTAAAAATATTGAAAATGCAATAATTCCGTTAAAAACAATGAACTAAAGAAAATTATTGAATTATCAAGTACCTTTATTTAGCTCAATTTTTAGGTTTAAAGGCAACCAACTACAAACTGACAGACAGAGGGACCTAAAAAGGTTTGTTGTAATTAATTTTGAAGTTATTTCCAGTGCAAAAGGTCCTTTTGCTGTATACTTCAAATTTGTTTTGGGGTCGATGGTGCTGCAATTATTTATTTCCGAGATACAGAATATTACAAAGGGTAATTATGAAGGTGCCAAACTATTACAAAAGATGACTATGATTGGTAATGCTGTAATAGTGTACAAAAGGTGAGGATGAGGTCGCTGGTGCTGTAATAGTGTACAAAAGTTTATAAGTCAGGTAGTTTATTGATATTAAAATTAAAATACAATTTTGCATGTTTTTATTGAATTTATTTTAGTGTACAAAAGGTGAGGAGGAGGTCAGGTGGTGCTGTAATAGTGTACAAAAGGTACACATGAGTCAGGTGGTGCTGTATTAGTGTACAAAAGGTTAGGATGAGTCAGGTAGTACTGTAATAGTGTACAAAAGGTGCAGAGGAGGCCATCCTTAAAAAAATGGATTTGTTTGAAATATTGTACAAAAGGTGAGGATGAAGGGTACACACAATAGTGTACAAAAGGTGAAAGGTTTTTTTTTTACAAAAGGTAAGGATTGAGAAAAATTTTAAATTTTTGATAAAAGTGTACAAAAGGTAAATACATTTAGTGCTGTACTAGTTAAAAAAAGTATCTACATCAACAGAAAAACCTAATTTTATATAGAACTGAAAATATCTTTCAGTGTTTTGTATTGTGCAAAAGGTGAGGATACATGGTGATAGGCAAAAAAATTAATTGATATAAAAAAAAGGAGGTCTTGCTGTTATAGTGTACAAAAGGTGAATAAATTTTTTAGTGTACAAAAGGTAAGGGGGGGTGCTGCATTGTACAAAGGGTAATGATGAGGTCAGGTAGTACTGAAATAGTGTACAAAAGGTGAGGATGAGTCAGGTAGTGCTGTAATAGTGTACAAAGGGTAATGATGAGGTCAGGTGGTGCTGTAATAGTGTACAAAAGGTAAGGATGAGTCAGGTAGTACTGTAATAGTGTACAAAAGGTGAGGATGAGTCAGGTAGTGCTGTAATAGTGTACAAAAGGTGAGGAGGAGGACAGGTGGTGCTGTAATAGTGTACAAAAGGTGAGGATGAGGTCAGGTGGTGCTGTAATAGTGTACAAAAGGTAAGGATGAGTCAGGTAGTGCTGTAATAGTGTACAAAAGGTGAGGAGGAGGTCAGGTGGTGCTGTAATAGTGTACAAAGGGTAATGATGAGGTCAGGTGGTGCTGTTATAGTGTACAAAAGGTGAGGATGAGGTCAGGTGGTGCTGTAATAGTGTACAAAAGGTGAGGATGAGGTCAGGTGGTGCTGCAATAGTGTACAAAAGGTAAGGATGAGTCAGGTAGTGCTGTAATAGTGTACAAAAGGTAAGGATGAGTCAGGTAGTGCTGCAATAGTGTACAAAAGGTAAGGATGGGTCAGGTAGTACTGCAATAGTGTGTAAAAGATGAGGATGAGTCAGGTAGTGCTGTAATAGTGTACAAAAGGTGAGGATGAGGTCAGGTAGTGCTGTAATAGTGTACAAAAGGTAAGGATGAGTCAGGTAGTGCTGCAATAGTGTACAAAAGGTAAGGATGGGTCAGGTAGTGCTGCAATAGTGTACAAAAGGTGAGGATGAGTCAGGTAGTGCTGCAATAGTGTACAAAAGGTGAGGATGAGTCAGGTAGTGCTGCAATAGTGTACAAAAGGTAAGGATGAGTCAGGTAGTGCTTAATAGTGGACAAAAGGTAAGGATGAGTCAGGTAGTGCTGTAATAGTGGACAAAAGGTAAGGATGAGTCAGGTAGTGCTGTAATAGTGTACAAAAGGTAAGGATGAGTCAGGTAGTGCTGTAATAGTGTACAAAAGGTAAGGATGGGTCAGGTAGTGCTGTAATAGTGTACAAAAGGTAAGGATGAGTCAGGTAGTGCTGCAATAGTGTACAAAAGGTAAGGATGGGTCAGGTGGTGCTGTTATAGTGTACAAAAGATAAGGAGGCCAGGTGGTGCTGCAATAGTGTACAAAAGGTGAGGATGAAATTAGGTGGTGCTGCAATAGTGTACAAGAGGTGGAGAAAAGCAGAAGATGCTGAAATAGTATCGTGTAATTCGAAACTTACATTGACGCAAGCATTACACTACAGAATATTGTTTTCATAACAGTATAAGAAAGCTTAAAATATGGAAAGAAAATATTCCTAAGTTGAACATCCTTTGCGTCAAGACATTTTTCATCATTAAAACAAGTAAAACGTAGAAATCCAGCTGAGAAATGGAAAAATTTGTACGTTTTCCTAAATTAAGTTATTTGTCATAATTTCAGGATATAATATTGTGGTGTAATATCGCGAATTAATTATCCAGAGACACGAGTATAGCAAAACAAAGTAATTGATATTTCTATTATGCTAACTGAGTGTCGTGAACGGAAGGAACTTTTCAAAAACAAACAACATGAACTATTTGGTACTGAAATTAGATGCCAATGTCCCCTAAAATAATTGGAAAAAATAAAAGCTTGATATAAACCAGGCTTGAATTAAAAAATAAGAGGGACCAGGTATTGTCAATTATATTGTCAATTTGCTTAAGGTCATGTCAAGATCGAAGGTCAAGGTTGTCATATTTGCTCCTAACTTTATAATACTAGTACGTTTAATTCCGTCAATCTGCTTAAGGTCATATCAAGATCGAGGGTCACGGCTGTCATTTCTGCATCTCAGTTTATAAGGAATGTAATTAAGTCAATCTGCTAAAGGTCATATCAAGATCAAAGGTCAAGGCTGGCATGCACTAATTTTTTATAACACATTTAATTTCGACAATCTACTTAAGGTCATATCAAGATTGAAAGTCAAGGTTGCCATAATTGTTGCTAAATTTATAATATGCTTAATTTTGTCAATCAGCCCAAGGACGAAGTTCAAGGTTGTCATAACTGCTCCGAAATGAAAAAGAAACGAGATCTGTTGAATTTGAAAAACAAGTCTTATGTGCCCAGGAGAGTTGGTGTAAAAAATGCTTCGTGATACTCAAGTGACCCTGAAGGTCCTATTTACAATACACTAGAGAGTTCCATAGCCATGGCACTAAGAGTTATCTGCTCTTGATTTAAAATGGAATAAAATAAAACCTTATGGAATCAATACACAGTTTGTATTTAATTCGAGAATTAATTCTTGACAAATTGTGATATCAAGATGGAGTAATTAAATGTCTTAATTGTATGTTTTTTCCTCATTTAAGTTAACAATTCGAATCCGTATGTTCTTTTGAAAAGTGACAGATACCTGATGTAGAATGCGTGTGTATCAATATGAAGTACATGAAGTTTATTACTTTATTGTCATTTCTATACGAAACATTTTTTTTTATTTTATGAAGTTATTTTTTTTTAAATGTATATAAGGTCCTACGCTCTCAACTTTGAAATTCAATTAACATCGAAAAACAGCGCTACAATTTATAGATTATATTAAATAAAATAACACTAATATTTACCTTTTTCTGTTTTATTAAAATACACATGTATAAAAGATACGATACATACATTCAAAACATCAAATGAAAAGTTAATCTATAATTGTTGCAAAAAAAACTTTTAAATCACAACTGAAAACTTTAGGAAACGTTTTATTTGGGAAGAAAATTATGGTAATTGCAAGGTCAAGAGAAGGAACTCGTATTGAAAAAAAAACAACGTTTGAGTTGTCTACCTTAGCACTCGACAACGTTCTGGGAATAAGTTTAAGCCCACAATGGAAAATTGTAATAATGACTACTTATAATTTTAAAAATTGTCACTTTCATACTACTAGTAAAACAATTTAATATATTAGCGAAGGAATAAAACAGCTCATTTATGATAAATTACAAAATTAATGGAGATTTTTAAAAACTGAAAACATCATTCACTTTCAAACCAAGCCTCTGAGTAAAATGAGTTCCATACACATATGAAACTGATATCTTCTCAGTCTGAGAATAAAGATTTTAATTGTGTTGATCACAGACAGTTCTAGGTAAAAACCATTTGCGTCCACTGGTCAAATAACTGGCTCTTTCTTCCAAGAATGCATGCGCAATACCATATAAGACATTTCTTTCCATTTACATGCGGCTCCATTTCTTTCTCTTCTATTTTTCGCCATATACATCTTCAGCAAAGGTTCGATGAAATGTAATTTTTATAATTCAAAAGTAATCAAACACTAGCACCAATGTGAAAAATCGAATAACACTAGATTACAAAGTACTATTACTGTAGAAATACTTTATTCCGCGTGGTATTAATTTGCGCTATGTACGCGGTCACAATTTATCTGCGGAAATTTGTCCAAGCGTAATACAAATGTATATACACTAGATTGCAAAGAAATTGAGATTCCGCGGAATAGTAATAATTAATTCTATAATACTGCCAAGACTGGCAAGAGTATGACCTCCTTATTTTAATCTTATCCCCATACAACTTTGTTGAACTAACTTTCGGAATGGGGTATAGCTGATTTTGTCTTGGAATCTTGGAATCAATAAATGAGAAAAGGGAAGACTTTCATGTCATTATGCCCAGCCTAAAGCATCGTAATGATAAAAACGTTACAGCACCAATCAAAATAAATAAAAACAAAGATATTGCACTCTTGAATTTGTGACTTGTCCTTTTCCTTTCTGGACAGTTTTTACTGGTAGGAAGTGACGTAGGCTCTTTGAGGTTTGACCATACAAGCAAATACCAAATGATAAGTATCACTGAAAGACCCATGGTTGTTCTTCGAATAAAATCTGTATAAAAATAAAGTGTATGTTTAAAAAGAATCATGATTCATAGTTTCACTATAATTTCTAAATCAATACATCATGGTTATTTTGTATGAAAACGTTAAAATTGTTTCTTCACAATGTTTTTTTTATATACAATCAAACCTCATTCTCCCGAACTCGATATGATCGAGAAAAAGACTTCGAGATTTCGAGATACCAAGAGCGAAAAACTTAAAGAAATCAAAGGCCTGAAGGGCCTGCGAGTTGACTCGCTCGAGTTAATTGAGATTTTTGATACATCTGGACACCATACCTTATATTCAGTTTATTTTGCATCTTAAGAGATTGAATATTATATGTCTCCATGTGCAGTTAAAAAATGAAGTGTATATTGCTTTTCCTTTATATATACAGATTGGCACTAATGGGCTTCCGTACATATTATTGTGAAAAGCAGCACTGCAAACCTGGATTCTATAATGAATTTAAGCACACTAGCTGCAGTGGTCAGTGTTGTGAAGTAATTAGTTTAAAGATTCCCACAGCAAATCTGGATTCTAAAAATAGATTTTTCAAGTACACTAGCTGCAGTTAATGACAGCAGCTGGTGTTTGTGTTAGGGAGTATTCTAGGTCAATTACAAATAAACTTCAGATAGAAAGATTAGATCCACCTCACATGCTTGAACATATATTCATACACAGTAATTTTACATTCTACAGATATTTAATCAAATTTTTTTTTAAAAGCATGAAGACATATAATATGTAACAGTATGAACTTTTGTATAGTTTTTACCTCCTAAGTATATAAAATGGCTCAAACAAAAGCATGTTTTGCTAGAACTATCATATTTGGCGTATGGATCACCTTGATGAATGCGTGAAAAATTTTACAGCTCTGAAACGGCTGTGTTAACAGGGAGTAGCTCGCTACGCGAGCCAACTCAAAAAGCGGCTGGGTCTTTCAAATACTTTGACAAACCCATGGTATTTGCGATTGAGATTTAGTACTCGAAATACCCAAGTTCAACTGTATTTTTACTATATAATGTTAATATTAACTTACTTGTTTCGTCCATCATGGAAAGATAACTCTGTAACAGAAACGACGGCAGTGAGAATAGAAGAACTGTGTACGTTCTCAGATGTCGAATCTCATAGGAATCCAAAATCCAGTCTCCGTAACATCCCAATACATATTTAACTTCCCTGAAATGAAGAATCTTAGAGATGTAATTGGAGATACACTGACATATTTAAGTCGTACATGTACATGTATATGATGAATTTTGACGATCTGGTCTTCAAACAAAAAAAGTAAGCATAATCGTTAATGTAAGGACTAACAAATTGGGATAAGTGGTAATCAATGGGTTCTTGTGTCTTATAGAAAAGGGGGCAACACACTTTCGTTAATGTAGTCTTCTTACGCACAAAATTAATTATAGGATTCGATTACAGAGGGGCCGTGGATCAATGTCCATGAAGAGGGTATTCTTTTTTTTTATACATGTAACTCTGTTCAAATTATGATTAAATGAAAAACGAGTATATATTAACGAGTTCAGGAGTTTATGATAACAGTGACCTATCAAATTAAACGGTGGACACATTTTGGAAGTGTAGTTATTGTGTTTGTAAAATAGGAAGAGTAGAATAAGATACCATTTTTCATTTTATCAATAGAAAATAAATCCTCTTACTTTAAGTATCTGCAAATAAAAGAGTTTAAAGAGGGATTTTAAATGCATGAACCCATGCACTTCTGTAATATAAAATTTGAAATCCAAACACAAAATTGTGATAATAAAGATTTTCAAATGAAGATTTCACAACAACGCACTGTGGTTTGTAACAGAACAGAGAATATTTAAAATATTCTCGATCTCATTGTTCATATATTAAAACTATAGGGGATACGCGTAAAAAAAATATTCCTTCGATATGCAATTATAATAAAATATTCCTTTGATATGCAATTATTGCAACTTGCAAATTGCCAATTTTTTTTCTTCCAAAAATGTGAAAACAAGGTTTCATTCTACGCACATGTATTAGATATACTTCAAAACTTTCACAATAATTTTTGGTTATTCATATAACATCGATATCTACATAAAACTAAAGTGCATTAAAAAGAGGTCAAAGGGTCAAACTAATTATACTTCCTGACGCCGCGGAAGCTAATTGACAACGCGTTGATTCGAAATAAATGGACGTGAAGCATCCTGTAGGGAAAATCCTTGAATGGGTGACGACCGTGGGTCAGCGAGAGCTAAACTGTCCATAGAATTTCGATGAAAGGATTTTACTTTCGCCCAGCAGGGGTTTTGGTTCGTGGACAATTTTGCCTCTAATTGACCCGAACATGAATAAAGGGAAACAGGATTTTTGTTATTTTTAAACAGATTTTGTTATGTATCAAAATATAAACAAAAAAGACCATAGGAATGGATATACATGAATACTCTCTCTCTCTCTTTACAGTGCATTAATCATATGTTAATTAAACAAAACAATTTTTAGAATAAAGAACAAACTTAAAAAATATCGTTCTAAATGAGAGATGTGTAGGTATTTTTTAAGATACTGTTGGATATTGATGACGTAACCAAATATGATGTCTTTCTTTCCGTCTGTCACTACTTTTAAAAGTGATACATGCATGTATATCCTTGAGAAATCTAACTGGAGTAGTGACAGTCACTCTATCTATTTGAGAGAGAGAGAGAGAGAGAGAGAGAGAGCGAGCTATAAACTTGCATACATTACTTATAAACGGTATAACATACAGATGCACTATTGGATATTTATGATATTTAATCATCTAACAAGCCAGCGTAGATCTCTACCATAGACCTCAATATGGTATATCTTGATTGATTGATGGCTATAAACTACATCCTCAATGGCAGGTCATTCACTTACCTCACAAAACAAGCGCATGGAATGCTGATTATCAAAAAGCAGTAATTTTGGGGACTGTTCTTCGTTTTTATTTTCGTCTGCCATAGCATGCTAATCCCACCGATGACCACCGAAGAAGACACTAAGACGGAAATGGTCAGTTGAAATGGCGTGAGCATCCCCCTGGACAAATATTCTTCTGCTAGTATGGCGTCTGTAATGGTCGATACAGTGAACAGCACAATGGACAAGATGTGTAAAAATAATCCAAGATAGCTACGTTCTTTTCCCTTTTCGTTTCCGATAAAGATTTCTTTAAACTTAATCTCATCCATGTTTACAGAATTCCAGTGCATGAAGCCGTATGCCTCACTCACACGACTGTTTTCCCTCGAGTTGTCGGTGTGTACATTTAAATATCGCAGTAGTATCGATAATTGCTCGCAGTTGCGAGTAGTCTCTACATATAACCACCATGTATTTCGTTAATTTGTGCTAATTGCTCCAGCTGCTAGTTATTCATATCTGACAAGAGTCCTTAATCATTTTATTGACTTTCATTGACTAATAAATAATTAGTGTTTACTTACAATTTCTGATGAGTCTACACGTTGAGTAATCAGCTGGCATACATGTACATGTACTCAAAGTCAATTTTCATTCAATCAAGTAATGTATTTTTATTCAAGACCTTTTCAATATTATGTTAATTTCAGTTATAAGTCATTTTCAATAAAAATGAAAATATATGAATTCATAACAAGACTTTTTATGTTTAATATATATTCTGCCATATTCCTTTAAATTGGAATCGACTGTTGAAGTTTGGTCTGGATGCACAAAAACAGACATTGAGAATCTTGAAAAAGTACAATTATATGCTGCAAGAATAGTTACTGGGCTTACAATTATTGCTTCAAGAAATTCATTATATTTGGAAACAGGCTGGGAACCACTGGAATATAGAAGAAATAGGGCAAAACTAATAACAATGTATAAAATGCACAATAATTTAGTCCCTATTTACTTGCAAAACTTAGTACCTGATACAAGAGGCAATATTTCAGGATACACTACCCGGAATTCTTTAAATTATTCTTTGCCAAAATACAGATTAGAACTCTACAATAAATCATTTATTCCCGATACCGTTAGAAAGTGGAATTCCCTTAGTCTAAAAACAAGGGAGGCAACTTCTATTAAAATTTTCAAAAATTATCTTCAAAATAGTAATGTAAAACCTCAGAAATATTTTTCTTATGGAAAAAGGTTTTTGAACATAATTCATACAAGATTAAGACACAATTGTATTTTAAAGTCTGATTTATATCGCTGTAACCTAATAACCAGTCCTAATTGTTCTTGTGGACTACTAGAAGATACATATCATCTGTTTTTTGTTTGTAAACATTATGTAAAAGCAAGAAATTCCTTAATGAATAAGCTATTGTCATTAAATTATTTACATATTATAGATGTACATTTAATGCTATGGGGCGATGATTCTTTAACTTTCGAACAAAATGCTGAACTTTTTAAGACTATTCAAACTTTCTTAAATGAATGTGGTCGTTTTTCAAAATAAGTTTTTTCCAACCATCTCGAATTATTTTGGTATATTTAAAGAATTTATTCCTTTCTATTGCTACAATGTATACAATGTATATAGTAGACCATATGAATATATGTTTATTTTACTTTGGCAATTTCACAAAATGTTATATTAGGAGAGGACTATCTAAGTTACTGAACTTGTGTCCGACCCTTTTGACTTTGTCAATAAAATATGTTCAATTCAATTCAATTCATTGGAATCGACAGGCCCTAAACTATTTAAGTGAATAATTTTATTTATTTATTCAAAATAATTTTATACAGTGTTTTTTTTTCACAAAGTGCGCATTATACGTACATGTATGTTGCAATTTGTGATTTTCCACCGATTTTCTGGGTTTGTTATTAAAAATGTATAATTTGAATGTTCCCGTAATCGGAAATTAGGCCGGGGCATATAGTTTTTACCCCGTCCGTATTTCTGTCTCACACTGTATGAAATATTTGTTATAAAATAGGAGCGGATCAAACAAGGACCTCCAAATGCCAGAGGTGGGATCAGGTACCCTGGAGGAATGGACATCCCCTGCAGTGTAATCATTTCTCCCAAAAACTTACAACTGCCCATAACTTTTGATTTGTTGGAGTTATATCTGTCATATTTCCTCTCTTATCTCAAAGGTGTGACAGGAACTCCCCTTATAGGTACCAATTAAGATAGTTGATCAGTTGATCTGCAGTTTAATCAATTTTGCAAATTTATTGTTATCAAAGTTTAACCTTGGACAGAACTTTTAAACGGTTGAAGGTATTTGTGTTTCATATTTGTATTTCTTGCAACATGATAGCTCGTCGTTTACAAAATAATATTTTTGACCCTTTCACCTTGATCTTGGCCTACTTAGAGAAATATTAACATTTGCCACAACTTTATTTTGAACAGTTAGTGCTAAAGCTTTTTACATTTCACAAGTGTATCCCTTGTAACAAGGCAGTTATTTATGTATCTAGCTTTATGGTTTATATTTTAGTTAAAGCTGCAGAACTGTATAGCATTATAGTTTTATATCATAAAAAACAGATCCTGTAATGCAAATATGGTGCAATTTTCTGCGCAAAGTTGGGGATGTATACCAGCATGGGACAATCAATTCAACCATAGACCTTTGTTAGGTTTACATGATTCAACTATTTTTCATACCCTACACAGTCATATAATAATAATCAACCTGTACATTTTGTAAACCCATTATAGTCGTCTCTACAGACAAATAAACTCGCTTGATGTAAAGTTTCTGCCATACGACAACAAAGTCACACCATGTTAAATTTATTTAATAGTTTGTAGAGAACGATTTTATAGGGTTAAGGGGAGGGGGATATACAGGTGGGTTCTAAAATATGTCAAGAATTAGAAAATGGAGGATTAATGATTGACACATGCTGGAAAGTTAAGAATTTTCCTCAAACGTGCGCAGAAAATCTTGCGCCATAAGTTGCACCGCATTTGCAGTACGAGATTCGTAGCGGTATGTTCCAAGACTAATACTGGTATTTAAAACCAAAACGCTACAGTTGTGCAGGTAGTTGGGTACATGTACATTAATTTAGGTTCATTGACCTTGACTTTTTATAACAAGTTTACCCTAGTAGGCCATTACTTAAAAAAAAAGAAGCTAAAGTTTTCTTTTTGGATTGCATAATTTTAAACCTACTCCTTGTTTCCAATACCTTCTTAATAGCACCTTAATTTAGATTCTTTGACCTTGGAGTTTGACCTACTTTTGAAAAAAAACCTAATTTTGACCATTACTTTTGAATATTTGGTGCTAGAGCTTTATTTTTTAAAATATTATTTACAGGTGTTTTCCTTGTTACAGTACTTTTGTGCAACATTATTTTTATTCTCTTTAATACTTTGAACTAGGAGTCCGACCAGTGTTTGAGAAACTTTCACTATCAACTGTCAAATGGGAGTATCAGTGATTCACAAACACAACTTGTCTTTTTTATACCCCCGCTTGAAAAGTGGGAGGGTATATAGTAATCGGTATTTCCGTCCGTCCGTCTGTTACGCTTTGGGGTACCCATCTGTTATCCGCAACTCCTCTCATACCACTACATATTGCCATTGTGCACCTCCTATTTTACTTTATGATCTGACATATATTTTGGATTTTCCAGAGCAAAACTGCCATTATATTCATATGGGAGGCAGGGGGTATCATTTAGTGAGCTCATTGCTCACACTGCCTCAAAGTACCTCTAGTTTAATATTATTTTTTAAATCTTAAGTAAAATTCTAGTTTTGATCAAGTTTTCTTGATATAACTTGAACTAACTTGAATTTCAAATGCCTCTTCTTGGAACTATCGTATAATGTATACATTACAGGTCATTTGAATTTGAAATTCCCAGTTTCTAAAATCCAGTGATTGAACAACCGTGGATACTAGTTTAAAGTAAAAGCTGTGTATTCATTTAATATTAATTTACTGATCTGGAGTTGTACGAGTCAGACTAAGCTTGCACATGTGAGGGAGGGTGTGTGTTTACCTGTATTATAAATATCAACTAGATCAGTTCATTGTATTTGTAACCTCCACTTCTTTGTTTAGAGTAGGTATTCATAGACATTGTACGCCTGTTGTCTAATCTATTCAGTATTTACAATTGTATATAATTTAAATCAATAATAATAAACATGCCAATGTCAAAAGAATAAAAGTTTTTATTTGGAATGATTGACATGCATAACCTTAAGGGACTCCGACCCTCAGCCAGGAAGGACAACTCTTAATTAATTTAATTCAAAAAGTCTTTAAATGAAGCTTGAAAATTAAATCTTTTCATGCAACAATTTTCATTATATGCTTTTCAATGTGCTTCAAGGTTCTTTGAACTTTTCAGAAAGGTCTAATTAAAAGTAGAAATTTTTAACATGATATGAAATTAGAAGTGATTTATGGAGCTTTGCAAAGAACCTTCCTGAGGGTCGGAGTCCCTTAAGTGCTAATAAATGATTACTTTATAAGTGTTGTGAAATATGGACACTTTGGTGGGCCGGAGAATGTTGTGATTTGTCAATATAATCAATGTAAGTGACTTTTGCCCACTATGACGTCCAGTGACAGACGTTACTATAACGTTATGTTATATACTTGTTGAGTTTCAAATAAACCACTATACGGTTCAGATGTGTTTTCTATGAGTGCTACAATCTTGACATTGGTGCCGTGACGAAAGAGGAGAGATGACTTCTAAACTGATTAAGAGCATGCTGTAACCAGACTTCTAAAAAGACTGGATGAAGAAAATACAAATTCAGAGGAAATTGAGACAATTTTAGAGACATTGACAAACAAACAGGAAATTCTCAGAGATCTTGATGAAAAAATTCTAGAAGAAACAGCAGAGGAGGACATGAGAGAGAAATGGACACAGATGGTACAATTTCAATCTTAATTCTAAAATGGGTGTGTGTTTGGAACAAAATGCAATTGCCAGCAGTATTATAAATATCAATCAGCACACAATTTCAGTGAAAATTCAGAGCTTCATTCACAAGCTTTCATTCAAATCCAAACAGTAACTTTCACAAACTTCCAAAATTAAACTTCTTTTTGTGTGTTGGAGAGTAGGTATTCATATTGGTTTTGACTGCATTGTGTTGTGGAATGTCGATCTAAATTCAATTGTAAAATTTGTAAAAGACGTCACCATACAAGTTTGTGCACTGCCCACAATGCAGTCAAAACCAATTACCCATGTATATAATTTAAATCAATAAATAATAAAAAGTGTCATTGCCAATGTCAAAAGAAGGATAAACAGTTTTTATTTCATGGACAATTGCTACAAATCAGATGACAGCTTCAAGCTGAAGAGTTGAAGACAAAAGAAGTTGAAGTTAATACGCTCAAACAGGACATGCATAACCTTCAACAAGTTGGAGAAAATATTCACTCAGATGCACAACTCAGAGAGAAACTCAAATTACTGGTTTGAAGATGACAACTCTTAATTAATTTAATTCAAAAAGAGGAGACTCTTAAAATCATGAAAAGCTACATCAAAGAAAATTAAATCTAATAACAAAGTTCATGGCAACAATTTTCATGATATGCTTTTTTCAAGATGTGCTTCAAGGTTCTTTGTGGATCATTTTCAGCATAAGAAAGGAGAATGCATTCAATTAAAAGTAGAAATTTTTAACATGATATGAAATTAGAAGTGATTTATGGAGGTTTGCAAAGAACCTTCCTGAGGGTCGGAGTCCCTTAAGTGATAATAAATGATTACTTTATAAGTATAATACTAAAGTCAGTAAACCTCTTAATACAAATACATGCACAAGATACTACATGTTAATAAAATATACCCAAGGCATTTTTCAAAAATATTAAAAATAATGAGAAGAATGAAATATCTTAAACAAAATAAGCAATTCAAGCACTTGCAAATAATAATCAATAACCATTTGAAAAATATTTTTCCTTCGATTAAAATCTAACAAAAATATATGGCACCATACATGAACACAGTATGCAAAGGCACAATAATTGCATACAAATTATAATTTAAAAGAAAAGATACCAATACACCAAGACCTCAAGGCTACTTGATCCACTGATAAGGGAGATAATTCTAACTGGAACAAAATGGTTCTTATTCCCAGAAACATTTTTTTTAATTTATAAAGGACGTTAAAAGGATAGTGACAATTATGATTTACAGTACAATGTGAAAATCATTTCTCATTACAGGAAAAAAATCATTCCAGTGAACAATTGGATATCATGATCATGATGATCAAACTTTATAAACATGGAATTCAATCAATTTGAATACAAACATAACCAACAGAATACTAGTACCACAAATACAGTATTGTACATGTGCCACCTGAATAAGAATCATAAAAAATATGTCATATTTTATAATCTTTATGCGCCTGGATCGAAAGATCCGAGGCATATATTGTTTTTGTCCTGTCTGTCTGTCTGTTTGTCTGTAAACTTTAACCTTCGCTATAACTTTGACCTTGTGACCTTGACTGTGACCTATATGCTAAAAATAGTTTTTTTTCTGCAAAGTTTAACCTTCACTATAACTTTTGAACCATAAAAGATAGAGACTTCATATTTGGTATGCATACTCCACTAATTAAGCTCTTTCAAATGACACCAAGGTCAATGACCTTGAGACCTTGTTCTTTGCTGATGTTGGATATGATCATAATTGAAACTTTTATTACATTCATAAAAAGCTTATATGGCACTGAAATGAATTAGAAGCCCCTCCCTCCCCCTCCAAAAAAAAAAAAAAGCAAACTGGTGGGGGATAAACTGATGACAGGATAATTCACTTTAATGTTTGTTAATTCTGAATATACATAGTATGTCCAGTCTGAAATGTGTTGGTTTACAGAGGATATTTTGATGAAAAATAAACTTGTCACATACATGTAATGTCATGTATATTTAAAAATAAATTCATCACATCTTAAATTTCAACTTTTACAACATCATAATCCAAACATTCAATGCATGCATGTCTCAATATTATACATATGTAAAATTAAAAGAAAAAACAGTTAAACATTTGTGGAATGGTAACTTGATAAACTACTTAAAAAGAAATAATTCAAGGCAAAAACAAGATGGCAACAGATGAAAACTACCACAGTAGTTTTTCTTCCAAAGAAGTCGATAAGTATGGCGGTTATACTAGCGCCTCTCTCTTCGCTGGCCTTGTTTGGAGTGCGTGACAATATGTACGTCATTAATGACCACATGATGACGCCATAGGACCACATGATTGACATCCGACGTAGGGAAGCTGGAAAATATTTTAAATCAAATTACTTATTGCTGTTCATCACATTATTCCATGTTTAATTCTATGTGTTACGAGTAACATTTACAGACTGTATACATGGAATGCAGGAAAGGTAAAACATGAAATGCTTTTAGTATATTTATATATTTAAAGTTGTCTTTCTTTGTGCATGCATGGTGAAGTCATAACTGATTTAATTTATACAAATAAATGATAAATTGATTAATATGTACAAGGTTACTTTGTTGAATAATGATGTTTATATTTATTTTCCTCAAAATTACAAAAAAGAACTTCTTTTCTTTTTTTTAATTTGATAAATTTTCTTAAAAAATAAAAATCTGTACTCCTTTGTATAAGCCAATGACAAATAGAATGTCTTTTTTCAAAGAGTTTATTTTAAAGTATTGAAAGTGATAGAGAATACAATTGCTGATTGTATAGTATGTGGACCTCAACAGTGGACACTGAAGGTCGCCGTAGATCGTTTTTTATACATGTAAAATACATAATACTCATTTGCATACATGTATACAATAACACACGTCTCGATTTAAGTAAAAATCAAGTTATTCCATAAATTGGGTCTAAATCCTGGAATTTTTATAACACAGTTTGTATAAGGCTAAACATAAGTCTTTGTAAACTGGTGGTCAGTGTCCTTGTATAAGGAAAAAGTTATATAACATTAACATTACTTTTAATAATGTTCAATTATTGTTCCTGTATTGACTTCCCGAAATAAGTAAACATCCTGGTAGATTACACTATCCTTAATCCGATTAACAGGTTTTTTTTATTTTAAAAGTATTACACATCCGTATCCTTGAATTAGAGCTACAGCGCTGTAGGTCAATGCACTCTATACTAAGTACATTGTAAATATCTGATGATGTTTATTTTACTAATTAAAATATTTGTCTCAAACCCTATAGGTTTACATTTGTTTACAAATCATTATATCATTTATGACTTAATTCTCAGTAAAAATGTTAACATTCACTGCATATGAATATATAAAAATATTTGAAAAATCAGTCTGGTTGAAAAGTTCTAAAGAATAAAAATTCTCAAATTCTCTCTTTCTACCTTTTTTATGAATGAATCATAATCAAAAGAAATGAAAAAGGAAAATTAAACTTATAACTGTTAATACATATATTTAAATGAAAAAAAGATCTTAAAAGTATCATTTTTAATTTTTATCAGGATGTTCTCAAATTGGTATAAATTGAATGTGTTTAACACATCAACCACTTTTTAGTATATAAAATGTCGCCGTGAAATTCACAATGATTCATTGCATGCACGTATATGACTTAAATATTTGCAAACCTATCTGTTTGACAATACAAATATCCTGTATACCACTTACAAAGATATATGTCACTTTCAGATCTATTGGCAATGTAGTAGGACCCCTGTAGAAGGAATTGTGTTGTGGTCCCAATTAGTGCATCATACAACCTTAAGCTCCTTGCATCAGTGAAGGCTTGTAAAAATGTATCTTGGTCTGGGTGGATTTTCTTGCTAAACCATTTACTCACTATGTCTACATCCCTAGAAAACAAAAACAAAAGGACACTTACTGAAAAGTGTTATAGTTTTTCTTCACTGAGTTACTTCATGTACTTAAAAAAAGATAAATAATTTTTTCAGGAGTTATAATACATAATAAGGACAAATTTAATACAAGTATAGATTCATGTATATTTTTTAAATAAAAAAAAAATTAGGGAGTCAAAACTTGCAACATCCCTTTTAGATTCACATTTATTAAACACTATTTGACATGCAATTTATGTCGTAAATATAAACTTTCCACACCTACATGTGTAACAGTTCAAAGGTTTTTTTTAACTTTTGAATTATTTCCTCATGTACACTGTATGTTGATATTGCTTACAGGCAGACACCAAAGCACTTGAAAAGGAGAAACAATTGATATAAATTATTTTTTTGTCTAAAATAAGATATATCTTACAAAATAAAGTGAATTGAATTGAAATTTTTTATGTACATGCATACATGCAGGCCAAGATTATAGTCAGTCCTCCCCCTCCCCCCTTTCCTCTTTTAACATAAATGTAACCTTTTTTTAACATAAATTTAAACATGTGTGTGTTTTACATGGTATGTAAACATCTATTTCCATTGTGTTGAAATATACACCAATCATGATAAAGGCCCTCTTTCTCTCTCTCTCTCTCTCTCTTTTGAGTGGCATTTAGCTGTTCACAGTTGAACAATTGAAGAGTTTGTTTACCTTGCAGAAAATAATCAGAAAACTGTAAACTTTATCCAGTTTTCTTTACACAAAGGTATAAATATCTTTAACTATGTCCCATTATGTTGAATCCCTTCTCTCCTTCTTCCAGTTGGGTTCAAAAATCATAGAGAAAGTACAACAGTCAATATGCACCCTCTCTTTCAAAAGACCTTATAAGATCCTTAAAAAGTTGTTTGTTTGGAATTGAAGGGTTTCCACAAACAAAAAAGTTGACAAAATCTTTATTGAAGTTTAGCCATTAAGCTGTTTACAGTTGAAGAGCAACTACTTAACTTCTGACTCCTGGCCTTGCAGATTTTGCTCCCCCCTTTTTAAAAGTTTTGTTAAATGTCCTCTCACTTTATCCAATTTCTCTTTAAAATTCACAAATGTTTAGAGGAATACTAAACTCTGTAAAATCTTCTCAGTGTTACCATGGTTACAGCCAAAGAAGTTATGTCAGAATACATTTTTCAACAGTAATCAATTGAAAATCTCTCCTTTGCATATGGCACCGTTTCTATAGACAATTCAAAGAATGGCTCATTCAAATCATTGATTTAAATTCCTACGAGAAAGTATCTAAATGCCCATGTGGTATGTAGGGTGTTTGCTTTAGAGAAGCATGGCATTGCGATGGCACTGGGGCCCATTTAACATAAGAACTAGCGACTAATACATGTACCTTAATTGAATTTTGTTTATATCCTTCTATTTTATATTGATTTGTAAAAGGTTTTATTCTTTTTTAAAAAAGATACTAGTATTTATATGGTTGAAATTTCAAACAGAATCATTAGGCCTAATTTTGCAAACTTTTAAAATTAACTAAAATTTTGGGATGTAGAGATTAGTTCTTGAATGACACCATATAAATCAAGGTCCTGTGTTGCAATGGTGATTGGTCACTAGCTAGGACCAAAAGATTGCTTACTGCTCAAAGGATGAAGAGCTAAGTTAAATTTGCATTCCAATTTATATGCACCAGCAAGTGTTTGTATCTCGTTATGAGTGAAAAATTCTCCAACGAACGTTAAACAAACCAACAAAAAAGTACTTCTTGTTAATTTATTTTTCATTTGGCTTGTTAATGAATTGTTGCTTGATTGTGCCATAACTGAAAATATTTGGTTGTGCCCCTCCCCCACCCAGGCACCTACCCCAAACTGAAAATCCATACTATTGGGCTGAAAAAAATCCAGTAAACAACTTGTAAATAGCTATCTCTACTACCCTGCTACTGACGACTACTAAAAGATGCCAGAAATTCAGGTACATTTTGTAAACAGCATAATTCACCTATACTTACCTCGATAATCCAGGAATCAGAAATCTGGTTAGAAGACATAAGAAATATCCAGGAGAAGATCTGGCTAATTTTCCATTCTGGATCAACCAATATGTGCTCAGACAGCCTGTTATCAAACAGGCTGCCGTTATTACAGACACCGTACAATTAAACTCCTGGTACATTTCTCTCTTGTGGTACTCAACAGCCAAAATAATGTCACAGTCAAACGAAACCAAGAATAAAATGATGGATATAAGTGATGCAACGTATCGCCATGTATTGTTGAATTTATATTCCTCATTTTCCTGTTTTTCTGCCACGTCCATTTTTTTTATCAATAAAAATACAGTCTAAACTCTTGTTATCAGTAAGGCCTGAAGGAAAAATTCCTACATCTCTAAGGTTTGCAGGATATTGTTTACACCGGATAATTGATGTAGTAATATAAAAGTTAAAACCCGTGTCAAAATCCGGGTCGTTTCTAGTGCAGTAAAGTCTTAAAGGGTCCGTGTAACACTAAACAATTCAAATTTCTAAAATTATTTTGAGTTTTAGAATGTTAATAATATTTTAGTTCAAATATCTAAATTTCAATAACTCTTGAAAACTGATGTGAAATAATGTTTATAATATTTTAGTTCAAAAAATCTTTTCCCTTAACAGGTTTTATTGATATTTTAATGTTAATAATATTTTACTTCAAATATCTTAATTTCAATAACGCAAACTGATTTGAAGTAATGAAATTTATAATATTTTAGTTCATAAATCTTTTCCCTTAACAGGTTTTATTGATATTTTAGATTTTTACCTTAAATTGTGAGTGTTTTGCAGGTTCTTAATAACCGAAGCTGCTCCACAGATTCATGTAGACTTTGTTTTCATTTACTGCGTGGTGTTATGTCCAAGTGCAGCACTGAGTTGTTCTTACGCATGTTACGCTGCCGTTTTGTTTTTAATTTTTATGTATAGTTTATATTTATGACTCAGGTCAAGGACAAGGACACTGTTGGTACTTACAATATGTCTGTTTTCCTTAGACTAAGCCCACTCCAAGTTTTCCTCTCTCATTTTTATATTAATTTAATCGTCAATAATTGTATTTTTTCTTGCGTTTAGAGATCGGGCATGATAATAAAATCAACTTGGTGTATTTTTTTTTTATTTACATATACATATGTACCGTGCTTTTAGTATTTTTTTGATTTTAGACTCAGTGGCGGATCAAGAAATGTTGAATAAGGGGGGGGGGGGAGTTTGAGGTCTCGGTAGGGGCCCACAGCCACACCGATAAAAAAAACCCATTGATTTATCAAATATAATGGGGGTTGAACTCAAAAGGGGCGGGCCCCTTGCAACCCCCTCCCCCCTCTTATCACGTATAATGTATGCTTACACAGAACGAAATATGATGTATTTGACGGGGAAATATTGTAACGAAACCGAGGGTATCGTGTTATAATTAACTCGTGGGCCGCTATTAGTTTTCTGGTCACTTGGTCGAGATTTGATGGTAACGTTGGTCACAGTTTATGTTATGGTCAATGACCAACTTTTGGTCACTTATTTGGTTGACGTAATGACCAACTTTTGGTCACTTCTTTGGTTGACGTAATGACCAACTTTTGGTCACTTCTTTGGTTGACGTAATGACCAATTTTTGGTCACTTTAAATAATGTTTGTTAGGAATAACACTTGTTAAAAGTTTATAACATTTATTAGGATGATCAAATGGTTCACTTATAAACACACAGAATGGTACACGTAACTTGGTTGGTACAACGTTATTTGGTTAACAAATAGGTGACCAACCGATGGTCAATCCAGGACGTTCCTAAAAACTTGGTTCCCTTTAATGGTTTCGTATACATAGACTTGGTACCGTCTTATAACCGAAGTATACGGAGTCGTTCCCCAAAGTGACTTAGGTCACTTTTCCCTTACCAGGGAAGGCTGTGTGCTCCGAGTCGTTCCCCACAGCCGACTGAAGTCTAAACCCAAAACAGCTGGTTTTTATATACAAAAGTTGTTATGATGACGTAAGAGACAATCAGATACCTATTACGTCACAATCAATGCAATCAATAAGTTAGCGGGTTTTAACCATCAAAATTACCTACTTAATTAATAACGTTGTACCCATATAAAACATACAAAATACACCACTTTGTCATTAAATTACACAAGTTAAATTAATAAAGTACAATTCAGTTAATTATTGTTCATTTCTTATGTTAACTGTTCATTGACAAATATTTACGGAGTTTATAAACATCGGGTTCAAGTTCCATATATTCCAAACTTGTAAACAAGTGTTAACCCGAATTTCACAGGTACACTTCGTGAAACGTAACATTACCCCCTTCTTAAGTCGAAACTTCCTCGTTTCGGGGTATTTAATCAATGACTTATTCAAGTCCACTGGTAATGTCTTTCGAGATACGCGTTACACGGATATAATGTCATCTGCTTCACCACAAAACAGCTTCATCTGGTCATGATTCACATATTTTGGTTTCTCGGCTGTAGACTTTCTCACTTTGAATACCGAATCGGACACGGCACTTAACACTGTGTAAGGTCCATTCCAATGAACCTTAAGTTTAGGACATCTTCCTTTGGTCCTTGACTTTGACGCAATCCACACACATTGTCCTGGGGTGTACTTAATCTGGTTTGACTTGGTGCCATACTTTCGTTTCTGGTTATCGGTTGCTTCTATCCATCGGGTGCAATAATCTGAACTGGTAACAACGTCCTTGTTACCCTTCTTGGTCCGTGGTAAAGGACCAAGGATGTCGTTGGCCACTTGTTCCAGTGGTTCTCTAGGTAAACATTGACCCGGTTTTCCTCTGACTTCCCTTGGTTGATTCTTCTTTGAGTCACCAACGGTACAGTCTCTGATATGCTTCTCAGCATCGTTTGTCTTCTTCTCGTCACGAGGTTCACATAGTCGTCGGTCATCATTATCATTGTGTAAAGCTTCTTGTACGCAAATTTTGAACACAGGATTGTGTTCACTCTTAATGTCACATGGTAATCTATTCTTTCCCAATGTAAGAGTTCCTTCACCCAAATTCAATTGACAATGATGCTGTTTCAGAAAATCAAGACCTAAAATCATATGTGACTCAACGTCAGCGACGATCACTTTATGTTCCGTAACTTCACCATCAATACCAATTTGAAGTTCAGTCTGACCTTCTGGTACAACTAAATCACCGTTTGCCATTTGTAAGTTACTACGGTTTGGATATAATTTAGGTCTCACACATCTTTCTATCTCGTAATATTTCTTTGGATGGATAACTGTTATAACTGAACCAGTGTCAATGACACAACTGATTTTCACATTGTTAACAAACACGTCAATTGTTAATAAGTTGGTACTGCGAGTATTTGAGTTCTTTATTCCAAAAACATGTGGCCTTTTCTGTTTTGTAGTTGACGTTAGGCCGCCGACGTCAACTACTGTGCGTTTCCCTGGTTCTCAGGTTCTCTGGTCGTCACGTCTTTTACGTATTCCGGTTTTCTTTGGTTTCTGTATTTTTCATTATTTAGGTGCCGTTGTAGTAACCTGCATTCTCTTTTGATGTGACCATCTTTCTTACAGTAGAAACAGGGACCTTTCTTGTAAAACTTCTTTTCTGTGTTTTGACTGATCATAGCTATTTGATATGAGTTATCATCGTTTTCGGTTATGTACGTTGGTTCCTCTCTCTGCATACGCACTGCAACTTTATTTCGTCTCCCCCGTGCTTGTTGAAAGGCCTCATATTCCAATGCCAGACGCACTGCATCTTCTAGGTCTGTAGGTTTTCCTTGAAACACTGCCCATTCCATTTCTTGGTCATTTAAACTTCCGATGAAAGAATCTTTCGTTATCTGGTCACGGAAACTTAGGGGTGCGTTCGGGTATGACATCCTCGTAAGTCGCTTTATGTCTTGCATTAACTCTGTGATCGTTTCGTTTTTCTTCCGTATTCTGCTCTTTAGTTGCGTCTTGTAGATTTCTGTTTGGTTTTCTGGGTCAAATCGTGCTGCTAGTGCGGAAACAAGGTGACGAAAATTATACCAAAATTCTGGTTGTAGGTCACTCAAAACGCTTAGTGCCGGGCCGCGTAGACTGGTAGCTAACTCTAATGCCTTTGTTTCCTCATTCCATTGGTTCAATTGGGCGATCATGTCGAAATGTACTATATAGTCGTTCCAGTTCATGGTACCATCGAACGTTGCTGGTTTTCTTCCTTTAGGTTCCGGGGAACGCCTAAATCCGTGGTCATCATGGTCATGGGCTTGTCTTGTGTGACCATAATTTGGTACATCGTAATCAAAGCTGCACATAGTCGGCTGAAATTCGTTGGTCCTAGCATTGGTAGTGTAACTTCGTGGTAACGTCGGGTTTGACCAACTTGTCCTAGTATGTTCGTAATCACGAAAGTCGTCATACGCATTTTGTAGAGAAGTATTTCTGTATGGTCGATGTTCACTGTGTATTTGGTCATCTTTGGACGTAGTACTGGTACCGGATTGAACGCAATTTTGGTCTACATATTGGTTGTTAGCACTCGTTGGTCTCACTTGAGATTGTAATTGGTTCATTTGGGACTTCAACGTTTTTAAATTCTTGTAGAATTATGTGTAGAGTATTGTCGGTACATGCGTTGACTGCACTGCCGTCTCCTATCTGGTCATTGTTATTAACCCGCAAAAGAACTTCTTTGCTTGGAGTACCGTCGATAAACTGTAGTTCTTTTGGTTCTGTATTATGGTCACTTTCCTCAACCAATTTTTCGTTCCTTGACATCTTTGTAATGGTTTATGTTCACAATTCACAGAATAGCGTATCCCACCGCTGCCACCAATGTAACGAAACCGAGGGTATCGTGTTATAATTAACTCGTGGGCCGCTATTAGTTTTCTGGTCACTTGGTCGAGATTTGATGGTAACGTTGGTCACAGTTTATGTTATGGTCAATGACCAACTTTTGGTCACTTATTTGGTTGACGTAATGACCAACTTTTGGTCACTTCTTTGGTTGACGTAATGACCAACTTTTGGTCACTTCTTTGATTGACGTAATGACCAATTTTTGGTCACTTTAAATAATGTTTGTTAGGAATAACACTTGTTAAAAGTTTATAACATTTATTAGGATGATCAAATGGTTCACTTATAAACACACAGAATGGTACACGTAACTTGGTTGGTACAACGTTATTTGGTTAACAAATAGGTGACCAACCGATGGTCAATCCAGGACGTTCCTAAAAACTTGGTTCCCTTTAATGGTTTCGTATACATAGACTTGGTACCGTCTTATAACCGAAGTATACGGAGTCGTTCCCCAAAGTGACTTAGGTCACTTTTCCCTTACCAGGGAAGGCTGTGTGCTCCGAGTCGTTCCCCACAGCCGACTGAAGTCTAAACCCAAAACAGCTGGTTTTTATATACAAAAGTTGTTATGATGACGTAAGAGACAATCAGATACCTATTACGTCACAATCAATGCAATCAATAAACCATCAAAATTACCTACTTAATTAATAACGTTGTACCCATATAAAACATACAAAATACACCACTTTGTCATTAAATTACACAAGTTAAATTAATAAAGTACAATTCAGTTAATTATTGTTCATTTCTTATGTTAACTGTTCATTGACAAATATTTACGGAGTTTATAAACATCGGGTTCAAGTTCCATATATTCCAAACTTGTAAACAAGTGTTAACCCGAATTTCACAGGTACACTTCGTGAAACGTAACAATATCATATTTTGAAGAAAAAAATATAACCTCTCAAGGAGGGGTGTTTGCACTTGTCTTGCACTTCAGATACCCGTGTTCCCAGATCTCAGACTCCCACCTATTTTCCGGCTCGTCAAGAAAAATTAAAACTAAAATTGATTGATATTTTGTAGATAAAAATTCATATATCTTAAATAAATGATTTAAAAAAAAAAAACATGTTGCATATTTTCCTGCATGCATGTGATAATGAAAAGTTGAGGTATACCACTTCCCTACATTTTTGGAATATGGTACAGCAAATTTTCTAACTTCTAACGACAATAAGATACACTTTCCTGTATGATGGAAAACTCATTTAGAATGCGTGTGACAAGGTTTTTACTGGACACAAAGCTATCCCAAATACACGTAACAAGAAAGGTACCTATCTTTAAATGTCAAGCAATGTCAAAGAAAACAATTAAAATATAAATATACTTTATTTGCTTTCATGTATTATGTACGTATTGTCATGTTTTGTGCAGTTTTCTGATATTTATTTTACACAGAAAAATATATGGCATGGTGTGACTTTTCTGTACATATTCATATTACAGAATGCATGCACAGGCACTTGCAACTGACGTTACTTATTTTTTTTAATACAAAAGAATATACACATACCTAATAATAAACAAGGGTTTATTAATAGGTATGGGTATATTTTTTTTTTTATTAAAAGAAAAATAAGTAACGTCAGGTACATGTACCTGTGACTGCATAGTATGGCGGTTCTTTACTTGTTGAAAAGTGCATGCATTGTAAACAAATTATAAATTCATACAATTGTACATTTATACCTAGTATATACATACTTATTCTACTTATTTGATTTAACACACTAATTCATCACTAGATATGCTCCCGTCTCTATCACTAGATATGCTCCCGTCTCTATCACTAGATATGCTCCTGTCTCTATCACTAGATATGCTCCCGTCTCTATCACTAGATATAGTAGATATGCTCCCGTTTTCTTCAATGTCTTTTTTGCTTGTACATGTATATGAACGAGATACTTTAGGGTGACACAGTGAGTAGTACGTCAGCATAAACAGAGTACACATAATAACACCGGACAAGGCCACTGATATGGTAGCTATATATACCCAGCTGGACTTGTTAACATCACCCCAAACTACAAACAGCACCACCATTAAAACGTTTTCCACATGGAATAGAGAGTAATACGCTATGGCAAGAAATCGTGATCTACCTCGGCTCAAATTCATAAAGGATATGATTTTCACAAATCCAATGAACACAATGAAGAAAACGTTGTGTAGTTTTGATTTATACGCTTGAACGTTTTTGAAAAATGCAACCGTTATCATAATCATCCAGTGGAACATGACGCCGAAAATTATCAAGTAGGGACCGTACACTTCGACTGAAATCAACATTACAATGGCTGTGATTCTTGGTCCAATCTCGAACACTCTCCACAGAAAGTATCCCACAGTTCCACAGTGCGTAAATGCTTTCAAGTCGGAAGTTGCGTTAAAGACATGGAGTGCTTTGCTGTACCCCGCCACGGACAATGCCAGACCTGCTAGAGATGATGCTATGGTAGCGGCACGCAGAAGTTCTGTAATATAACAAACATGTAATTAAGTAAAGTCATTTTGTAAGCTTTTTTATATTAAGAAATCAATTTTGTGGTAAACTAGTATCTACCTGCCCAGTCCCATGAAAAAATAGACCAATACTGATAAAATAAAGCTTCCTTTATCTCTGAAGAATAGGATATAAAGTAACTATATAGAGGTTGTCTTTCTGATTTTTTTCAGTTGTCCTTTGACCCACTTCTAGGAAACATTAACATAGACCAGAGAGCTACAGCTCTGCAACTAAAGGACTGGAATTGTCAAGACAGTAGAAAAGTATTTTGGTACAAAGCTGTTATACTAGTAAATAGTACAGTTTTGAAGCTAAAGGATTAGGATCAGTTGACTTTAAGAGCTCCATTATCAAGAAGAGACACACACTGTAGTACAAATAAACTTTTTTTTCACTTTACTAACCTAAGTGTATTGCTTCTTTGGGCGTATCATGGATAGCAATATAAACTTGAATGATCAACTGAGGTGCGGATTCAAAGAAGGCATCACACATCCGTAGAAAACTGGCATCCATGTTGTTTTTGATCATCCTGCTGTAATGTTTCTCTTTATCGGTGGATCTGGATCTGCGACTTAGGTATCCATGTTTTAAGTAAGAGAAATTCCTGGAAAAAAGGAACATACTAAGGGGTGATATTTGGATATAGTTAATGTGCGGAATTTTTTAAATTCCCCTTTTTATCTTTTAGTAGAAAAAAAAATTAATGGTAGGAATTCTAAAGTATTGAAAGTCTTAATTTAATATCCCTTTTTCTGCTGGTATATGAGAATTAAAAGTAATGAGATCAATGGAAAAAGTGCCGGGTAAAAAGATTTTTCAAAAATGAAATTTATATGAATATTCTTTGCATCACTATATACTATATAGATTAATCTATGCTTGTGCATATTATATTCAAATTGTATGAAATAAATTTCAACACTGACGTTTATTTATTACATTGTTATTTATGGCATTTAAGGTTTTTAGATACATGTGATAGTATTTTGAAAGCAATCCGTGTTTTTGTCAACTAAGCCTCGTCCTACTAGGTTAACATTTATTTGATTTGGAACACTATCATGGTACGTTACCTGATAATAGTAGAAAATGGGAAGGCCAAGACAAGAAATAAAATCTTTTTCACTCTTCCTTTGGGTCCACTTCCGTCCTGTATGTACCAAATCGTGCTTAAGGACCCCGCCACCAGAAATGACGCAATCACAACTGATGACGTAAGAACACATTCTACATTTCTATCCTGATTTTTGTACTCCAAGGCAAGAAGAATATCCGTGACAACATCAACGACAAAGAGTATTATTGAAGCAACAACCCCAAGAAAGTCCAAAATATTAAATGGATAGGGTTGGATGGAGTCGGGAAAGGAAAGCGTGGGTTTTTCATCTCGATCTCCCACAATACATCGATCAGTGAACTTAACATCATCGTCCTCATCGTCGGATGCATCATCCTCCGAGTCTTCATATTGTCCGGATTTCTCATCGTAGTCAATTTCATTTATTCGGAACCCCACCATTCTTCTGCTCACGGTGTAACTTTTATCTTTTTGTTCCTTTGGGAGCCGAAATATACCTTTCTCAGCAAATATGTTATTATTGTCCTCTCCATCTTGTTCCGATTTCTCGTCAGCATCGATAAAATCTATGGAATCCAATGAGGGATATTGATGACTTTTCTGTTGTTCGGTCATGTTGTTGTTGTCACTTTGATTCATTCGAACACCCACCATTTGACAACACGGTGATGTCATTTTCATCACTTTCATTCCTTCGGGCTCCAAACATACAGTACCTTTGTCAGAAAATATATTACTATTGTCCTCTCCATTTTGTTCCGAATTCTCGTCAGCATGGACAAAATCAATGGAATCCAATGGGAGATATTGATGACTTTTCTGTTGTTCGGTCATGTTGTTGTTGTCACTTTGATTCATTCGAACACCCACCATCGATTTCTTTCCTTCGGGCTCCGAACATACACTACCTTTGTCAGAAAATATATTACTATTTTCCTCTCCATCTTTTTCCGAATTCTCGTCAGCATGTTGTTGTTGTCATAAAATTTGACAACACGGTGATGTCATTTTCATCACTCTCATTCCTTCGAATCCAAAAATTTATTACTATTGAGGGATATTGATAACTTTTCTGTCGTCCAATCACTCTGTTGTTGTCACTTTGATTTATGCCAACTCCAACCATATATCTGAGCACATGTTGATCATCTACTCCATTTTGTTTCGATTCCTTGTTGATATTGACACAATCTTTGGAATCTTTGGCTGAATCTTGACAAATGTTTTGTTGTCCGATGACGTCGATTTTTTTATTTATATCATTATCTCGACGCCCCACCATTCTTCCAAGCATATTGTCTTTCATAATGTGAAGATATCACAGTGATATCTTCCTTATTTCGTATTTGGCCTAAGGCGCTTCTTATCCCACTGGCTAAAAGTTGATAAGGGGAAATAACCTGAATTTGAAGAAAACAAAGATTAATGAAGGTTTACGCCGTCCGTGCGTTTTTTTTCCAATAAATAGAGTACCAAACAAAGAACTAATTAACTGGTAGATGTGACTAAATGCCCTTTACAAATTGTCATGTTGTATATTTTGTATTTACTGCCCGGAAAATTCAAAGTTTAGAACATGACGTAAACAATGTTCCTAATTAACAAACGTTATGTTATCAAGATATGGTTATAATGGCGCCGGCAGTGTCCATGTTTTGCTGTGGCCGGGAAACCCAAAATATGTGTCGGATCAAAAAATAAAAGTGCACAATGGCAATATGTAATAAAGATTCTTTGAAAGTTTCATAAAATTTCACTCAGTGGTTTTAAAGAGGAGTTGCGGATAAGAGATGGGTACCCCAAAACGTAATAAACAGACGGACGGACGGACATACCGACTACAGTATACCCTCCCACTTTTTAAGCGGGGGTATAAATATTTACCTGGATTTGAAGAGAACCACGATTAATGAAGGTTTACGACGTCCTTTTGAGGTTTTATCGAATATAGAATTGTGACTGACACGGGAACGCGTACACTTATATACTTACTAGGAATGGTAAAAATTCCCATTCATTAAAATGACCAATCAAATTGCATCTTGATAATTGATCTATTATCTTAAAGTATTGAAATTCGTTGTCCAGATGTGGTCATGCCGCGTCCCTTTGATGATTGATTGACATAATAATTGAGTGAAAGATGAACTTTATCGAAAGACTTTAATTGGCTTTGAGCAATTAATTGCAGACATGGACACTTACATATGTACCTTTTTCACCTGAGCAATTAAACAAAAGATTTGATGTAAATACAGTTACTTACAGTGTGAACATATAGGTGTCATGAACATAAAGAAAACCAATTTAAAAAAGATGAAAATGTTCTAAATATTTTGTTTCAAATGTCAATAACTTATTAATTGTGAAATTCTGAAAATACAACTAAAAAAGAACAGACTAGAGTTAATGTAAATATTTTCTACCAAAAACAGAAATTTTATTTATTAAGATTAACTTTTAAAAACAATTTATAAATGTTAAATTACTTATTTTTTATTTAATTAAAATAAAAGCACTCTGTAAATATATACTCCAGTATTCTAAAAATAATTTGAAAACAAAGTTTTCCTCATTACAATATTGTCCAGTGTGTCTTCGTCTTCATTCTTTTCTATCCCCCCCCCCCCTCTTTTTTTAATTTTTATTTCATTCCTTAATTGTGTAAACATTTGTCAGGATTAAAATTCAGTTAATTTTTTTTTTCACAAGAGATGAAATGAACAGTTTTTTTTAGTGACATTGAATTTCTTCAATAGTGCTAATTATAACAGAAATTGGGAGTTCAACATTACCACTACATCGCCGAAATTTCAACTCATTACCGCTACATTTTTTTTTTTCAAATTGTCGACCAATCTTTGCCACCACATTTATCTGGTCGAAAACAACTCTTTACCGCTACACGTGGAATCAGCCAGGTAATTACAAAGCTTTCAGAAAGAATTCAGAACGATGTTTTACATAGTTCTCATCCTAATATTTTTTGAAATTTTGGCAATCTAAGCACAATTATACTGCTGTCTTTCACTAATTAACAATTTTCAATTCATGTACTCATTAGCAATTGAAAATTGTTAATTAGTGATAGACACTGCTTTAAACATTTTATAATGTAGAATGGATAACTGCTACAGTCAAAGATTAAAAGATAAATATATTCAAAAGTGGAATAGTGAAGTTCAAGAATCTTCAAAAAGTTTAAATTATAGAATTTTTAAAACTAATTTTGAGTGCGAAAAATATTTAACACTGTTATCATTTAAATTCAGAAAAACTTTTGTTAAGTTTAGAACCACAAATCACCACCTCCCAATTGAAACAGGTAGATGGAATGGTACTCAAAGAAATGAAAGAGTTTGTAGCTTATGCAGTAATAACCAGATAGGAGATGAGTATCATTATATTTTAGAATGTAGTGCTTTAAACCAATTAAGAAAAGTTTATTTGAACCAAAAATTTTGTTCTAATCCAAATATCATCAAGTTTTGTGAAATCATGTGCCAAAATGATGTTGATTCTTTGAAACAATTATGTACATTTATTTCTAAAATTAATAGTATTGTCTGTTCTCCTTAATTATCACCTTCTGCTTGACCCACTGTATTATATGTATATATATTTTATATGTTTTTTACCTCATGTACCATTTACATGGTTTTGAGAGAATAAATTGAATTGAATTGAAACATTTTATACCTAGTCCATCATTTGTTGTATGAGATGCATTTCTCATTCTACATATTACATTTATAACTTTTTTTTGTGGCGTTGATGACTATGTAAAATTTGGAAAATGTAGTGGTAATGATACATACCTACACAACTAAGACGTTGACTAAAATATTTGAAGCCACGTGTTCCAGAGTTACATTACATGTCTACTCAAGTTAACTCAAATATTTTGTAAAGGTCTTCTGAGTTATCATCACCACTATTACAGGAAATCAGTGTCACTCAAAAACCTACAGCTAGCTGATATTCATTTTACTAACTCCCTTTAAATCAGGAACATGGCAGGGGTGAGGGATGCCCCCTTCCCATAATTTTTTTTCAAGATACATGTTTAATTTTTTTCCGAAAGAAAATGTTCATTGAACTTATGGTTGCAACCCACCATCTTACAACCCACTTTTTGTGACGTATATAGTATTTACAATGCTAAGTATGTACAGGGACCTATACATGTATATACACTGTAGGTCCCTTATATGTAGTACTAGCATGTTCGAATTAAAGTAAATATTAAGGGGTACTGAAAAAAGTTGGAACCTAACACCCAACCCCTTCCCCTCAAATAAATTTTCGAGTTGGGACAATGTTCTTATCTTTTTCAGGTTAACTAGTTGAATGTCTCCCCCACCCCACCCATTCAAAACGATCCTACGTCATTGTCAAAACCAATACTAAAATCCCTGATATCAACATTTTCATTAATAAAAATGAACAAAATAATATGATTTCTATTAATCATTAATTTATTTATATTAATTACAAACCCAAGAACAGAGATGAAATGTAGAAACTTATATATAATTTAAAATTTTTGTTCTCGCAATCCATATTCTAAGAGATGGACATTTCCTGAACTGCATTTATTGATCTCTTCACAATTTTACAATTGTATAGCGAGATATAAATGTAAACTACAATGATGACAAATAAAAACACATATATAGCATGCATGAGTATGAGGATAGACAAATAGTACAATTATAAAGGGGGGTTTTCGATAAGGCCGTTTCTCGGCCCACTTATTTTCATAAAAATAAATTTCAATTTATTTTTTCAAAATTTGTTTAGAATTTAAGATGAGTATCTTAATTTTTGTTATTAATATTTCAAAAGTTAATATGAGATAAATTCACACCGTAGCCGACACAAACTTAGATGTACCCGCAAATGCGTTAACATTAGGCCTATGGGAAAATATAAGAGGGTGGCATTTATAAATCGATTTTTAGAATATGAAGTGCATGAGGGACACTCACCTAGTTTTGCCCAGTTATTAGATATACCCTGAACACTAATAGTTTACAATATGATGAGTGTCGCGTGTGCACTTCATATCCAAAAATTAAAAATTGTTTAAAATTTGCATACCTAAAATTAGAACCTTCTGGTTACTTGATCATACACCAGGTTAAAATACTTAGCCAAAAGTGGCACATTTTTAAAAGCAAAGTTAATTCTTGAAAATATTAACAATAGAATACATTTTCGGATACTTTCTTTATTTCCATACTTATTTCGTCGCCAGCATATAACGTTAACGTCATATTTTTAGTTCAACTACACGGAACAGGGGAAGTTTTCTTAATACCGTCGGCATTGGCGTTCCCAGTTAAAAATTTTTCAAGCAGATATTTTTTTTATATCATCTAGTCCCTTGAACAGTAATTCCTTGTCATCTGTCGGGTTTCAGATGCTGGGTTTTAAGCTAATATGTGTCGAGGTCAATCTTTTTAAAGTAAGTTAAAGTTTTTTTAGCAATGCCACTATAAGTACTTGATGACCAGACATGCTTCATGATGCATCTTCGGATGTACAGTACTAGACTTGGTTCGAATGCTGGGTCTGACTTACATTTCATTGATGAATGCTCAGAGTTAAAGTTGACTTAACATGCACCGATGATACATTTAGGGTTGCACATTACCAGAAATGGTCCAGATGCCAGATCTTACTTCTATTTTCTGACTGATTTAACGAAAGAAGTGAAAACGAGTCCATTCCTTAACGTTCTGAATCAAACATATATCAGAAAAAATATCATATTAGCCTTTTTTCGAATAGAAACCCTTGCTCCAATCTGCTAGAGAAGATTCGTTATGTTTTACGTGTGGTTGATATTTAAGTAGGGAACG